CTAAGTAAAAGGATGCACTAAAATAAGTAACCAAGCAATCATTTTAAGGTCTCTAAATATCGGTGCCATTTAAAATTGCTACAAATTTTATGGGGATTTCCAGGTTTATTAAATCTACGTTTTGTAATGACTGAAGAAAAATGAAGTTACCTCCCTTGACGACAAAAAAATTGTTTTGTTCCCGTTAAAGAGTTTCATTTAAAAAAAAACAAACAAAGCGTACGTGTTTCTGTGCACAATTTTCTGGCCGCTCATTAATCTGAGTATGTATAACTGACACATTGACATAATCCTCTTATATAAAGAGGATATTTTTAAGAATTTGTCTTATATAAATACTCCTAAATCATTTTTAATATTATCGATATTTTAAAAAAATACTCCTCCTAAGACATTTCTTACTCAATATATCTGATTCACATTTTTGATTAGAGCCAAATATTTCTTCTAACCAGTATTTAGCCACATACAAATTAATCTTTTGCTACAAAAAATGACATAGACTACATTCCTGATTGACTTTCATGTTCTTGAAAATACAAAATTTTTCATTCTCAAACTATTGTTTATTTCAATGCATGAATTGTTTTCCATGGAGTTTTAATACTTACTCTGAATACATTTTGAATGGTCAGCTTTTATATTTTTCCCTAAGTTATGAATAAACTAGACTTTTGATCTATCCACTTAACACTGTTGTCATATGTAAAAAAAGAATTTTGCTTTTTAAATCATGAACAGTAAAACTATTCAAAGAAAGCTAGTACAAGACAATAAAAAGCAATGTTTTTAGCTGCCTGATCTCTCCTAATTGTTAAAGAAATATGTTTTGTTTATTGAGTAATACTTTCTGTTGTCTTCATGATTATTGGGCTATGTGATCAATCAAATCACATTGTTTTATGTTTAGAATAGATAAATTTTTAATAATGCATTACTAGTTGTCATTCGTTCATCTTTTTTGTTTCTTGCTTTCTCTTATCAAATGATCACAGTTTCTTTTGCTCACGGGAAAGTTCACTGTGCAGAAACATCACCATATAAATTCATTAGATTTTATAATTAACAATTTTATAATTATATATAATCTGAACCGAGAAACTTCTATAATAGTTAAATGGCTTGAAATGAGCATAACCAACTAAAACATCTGCTGGGTAAATTCAACGACTCATTCTAAATTACAACAAAGATCATTGTATCTCTGACTACTTGAGAAGGAAAGCACATAATATCAGTTATTAGAAACCCAAGTTTTAATTAATAAATTAATTAAATTGAAACATAATGTCAGTTATTTACTTATGTCCTATTTTAAAATTTTTTTGCATATGTTGATCAATAAATTTAGAACTCATTAACAAATTGTTTAATTTTTATCTTTTCATGGTGAACTTTCCCCACAGTGATTTGATGGCAATGAACTTACCAGGCACAATTTATTTTCTACAGTCTTGTAGTATTTGGTGTAATAGTCTTATGATGTCTGCATTTATTTAATATACTTTCATCCTTTGGAACCTGTCTCATTGCCAAAGTTATGCTGCTTATCTTATTATCACAATAAATGTAATAATGACACAAGAACTGCAATTTGAAAGAGAAAGAAGATAAAAAAATTAATAACAAATTGGTGCTACTTAAGTATATGATCTATGTGTATGATTCTTTTTAAACATGTGATCTACCTTGAAAATTATTTACATGCACAAGACAAAATTGAGAGGTACACCTGTCTAAATATCACCTAGATTTCATTGGCTGGAAAATTATGCAATTCAATGCCCAAAATTTATTTATTTGCATTTCTGAATGATGTTTAAACTCTTTACAGACAGGGATAGTATTAATTAAAATAATTTTATTTATTTTTTTTATCATCTGGTATTGTTTAGTACATTATTATAGTATATTAAGGTTTACTTCTTTTTCTTGTTTTACACTATATCTGTGTGTGTATATATATATATATATATAAATATATAAATAAAAAGAAAAATATACGGAAAAAAACAAAGAAAAATCCTAATATGCAATTATGCTGTTTTAATGTTAATATAATGTCAATGTCGAATGTTTCAGTCTAATAGACCATCTTCAGGACATATTCCTAAAACATAATTAACATTAGACTATATATAAATAAATAAAATGTAGAGAATTTTCTCAACTCATAGATAATATACTTTAGTGATGTGTTGTTCGGATATATCATACTCTGAAGGTAGATCATATACATAAGTAGCACCGATAGATCTCTTATCTAACATATTCAAGAAACTTAAGATTAATTAGCATAATTTTATGAGCTTACATGAGAAGACAATGGAATTTCTTAAATAAGAATTGGGATGTACCTGTTTAAACTTAAATAACATGCTCAAAACTTGAAGATAATCATTTCTAGAAACTATTGCTCTTTTTTTTTTTTTTTTTTTTTTTTTTTTTTTTTTTTTTTTTTCGTAAATTTTATGAGCTCTTTTAGTTATCAGTTAGCATACTTTGCTCAAGGCTCCTTATCAGTTTGGCTTTTTCCCAGCCTCAAACAGGGATAATTTTATAGGTTTAATATTGTACAATAAAATGTATTTCTGACACTCCTTAAGCTTCATGATTAACATGCACAAAATAAATACTGGTAGCTTCTATTTCTAGCTGGACACAGGGCCAAACCCAGCCAAACCAGGACATATAGTAAGCCTACTTATAGGTATTAGCATTCACTTACTACGTGTCTTAGCCTGGCTTATTATTTTAAAGTAGTGTTTCTCAACTGCTGTTCCCTGGAACCCTATGATTCCATAAGAAACAGTGATAAATTGGCTAATACATTTTTGAATAATTTTACTATACACATATGGCATATTGTTGGAAAATCTTTGGTTATAATAAAGACTTTAACTGTTTGCTATTTAAATCATAATAATCATAGGGAATCTTTTTAGCAATGTGTGTATGACATCAGTATGAAACTGCCTTCACTGGTTAGTGGACAGGACTTATATATGTGGTGGATTCATGTATCCTTGAGTGACTTGAGTACAGGAATAGTGTCAATGTATGATGATTACCACATGAACTATGATAAAGGTATAAAAGAGATATATTATTAATGGTAGATAATAATTTTTATGCAAGGTTTCCCTGAGACTTGAAAAGTATTTCAGGAGTTCTACAAAGGTAAAAAGATTGAGAAACACTGGTTCAAAGTGTATCTAGCCAATTTTCTTTAGCATCATACTGATTACAATTTGCAGTGCTGAGTATTTATCTCTTGGAATGTGGAATATAAATAAACATTTATAAATGAAATATAGTATATTTGCTAACAAATTTAACCAGCATCTCTCTATATTTCTGAGATGAAGTATTGTAACTATTTACATTGGACTGTTGTCCTCATCTTTATTGTCATGTTCACAATGTTTTGGTTGTTGTACACTCTGACCTTCTTCAGGTAATATGCGTTGGAATTTTGTGTATCCCGACTGGTTCAAGTGTGTAAAAATGTTTATCCAAATATAAACAAATATTAATTGGAAAAGAATTAACTAAAAATAGACTTCACCTAATCGATTTGGTAGTTTTTAAATATATAACATGGTTTCTGTCTGAATTTCTGAGATGAGGATTTATCATTATATACATGATTTGTATTCGGACTAATGTCCTCATCTTTGTTGTTATTGCATACATAAAGGGTTCAGTTCAAAACTCTCTGAAAGTTACCCAGATCAACAAGCACCTGATGATGGTTGCAGGGCAAATGGCTAAAACATTATAATAACAAAGATGAGATCATTAGTTTGAATGTAAAATAATATAGCAAGGTTTTGACAGAAGTGATATCTCTAACAAGGTAGTCACTGACAGAATGTCTAATCATTTGCATAAGGGGAAATATGTTACAATGTGTACATGATAAAAACAGAAATAACATAATTAATTTTTTTTTTAATTTTTTTTTGCTTCTAGAATCCTGAGAAAAAATACTTAAAAAAAAATAACCTTTACCCCACCCCGCACAAAAAAACCCATTAGCAATCAATTTTTGCAATTTCTACACTTTTCTATGATGCCCTTTCAACCTTAAAAATTCAGCATGCAAATTGATGCAAATATAGTTAATTCTGCAGGAGACAACAACAGATGTTTGTCTGATGCAAAACAACTCACCACGAGCAATTATATCACATAACCTTTACAGCACTTAATAACATGCTATCAGTTTTGAATCTTAGTTTGTGCCAACAGATTTCCTGTGGACTCATCTCACCCCTTTGCCTCAGGCTGACTTCAATCAATGGCAATTGTACATAACATTAATAAATGAATTTGTTAACTTTAATGCTGTCTTTGTTTTTATATTCTTCTTTCTCTACTAACCTGAAATAAAATGCCTTCACTTCTGAATCGTACATCTTCACAATAATGACAGACATCGCTTTTCTTGCTTCCTCTCTTTTTCATCGAGAACATTAAGGCTGCAACTACAATAGAGGCATTTACAAGCATGTAAAAGTTAACAAATTGGCAAACCAAGAAAACGGTCATCATAAATGTAGTGTTTAATTTAAGGTTTAAAGGGAGACAATTTAAATTTTTATCTCAATAACTCCCTAGTAGAAACAATAGACGGAAAGAAAAAAGTTAAAGCGATTCCTAGCTCCATTCAGAAACTTATTTTCTTTTCCCCATTTTTTAAAATTTTTTACTGCTTATAATTTAAAATCTAATCTTACCTAATATCAAGTTTTGTCATTAGTTAACCATTTAAAAAGCGCTTTTAATACTTCAAAACAAATCAAAACAGACTCCTTGCTTGGTCAGACAAAAAATTGAACATACTCTTGAAATTTTTTGGCATCTATAGTTTTTAAAAACTTCACAATGATAGTTTTTGAAAGAAAGAAGACATTTATTATAAGAAATATGTTTTGTTTCAAAGGATTTTTATGGTTCACTAAAGTGTCCATCATGTCTTCAAAGTTTATCCATATTTACTTGACATTCATCTTAATTACTCGACTTGTGCGTTTCAAATCAGCAGACCTAAAAAGACAAAAATCATGAGAATAATGAATGTGTATTTCTTAAGCTTCAAGATGTTGTTATATACAGCCTTTTCAATAATTGAAGATTTACATGACCCTTTTAGAAACTTGATTATTATTTGATAAAACTTATCTTGAAGTTGAGGATCAAAATTTAAATAAGTGCAATTGATACTTGATTTAAGTTTAAAAAACAAGGCTAGATGAATTAGAATAAATTCAGGAATTCCTCAATTAGTGTGGCTAAATGTTTACATAAAAGGATATGCATTGATTGAATATAACTTATAGGAAATTATGTAATTTGTACCTCAAATTTTAGTCTCATTCATTATTAATTTCTATTTTGCATACTTTTTAATTAAAATATAAGTACATATAAGAAGATACAGTAAAAATGCTGTGAATTAATGTTTATTAATCTGATTTTTTTATTAAAAAAAAACTTAGTGGTTTGCTGCATGGTATTCTTCTGTTTTTCATATAAATGGTGGTACTGAGAAACATATCATAATTATTAGTATTTTAATCTGAAAATTTTATTTATAATCTTTCCATAGTAGATACATACATCTTTTATATTTTGATAGTTTTTAATAAATGTAAATTTCTGTATCTAATTAAATCATGGCCTTTTTTTAAACAAAAAATCAGAAATTTCCTTTTAAGACCTTCAAAATAAACACAAAAAAAATCAAAATAATCAAAAAATTTTAAGAGACAAATATTCAAATACGTATTTTTATCAGCAGCTAATATAGAATTTATAACTGTCCATTTTTTAAACATTACATTAATTACTTAGATAACATAATACTTGACAAACAAAATGGTTACACATTTTCCATTTCTAAATTTTAGAAAATTTTTAATTAATTGGTAACTATAAAAAAAGAATCAATTTTCAATTACTATGGTTAAACAGAAGAATGTTTTAATGCACTAATCAAATATTATGTATACACTAATTGAATTTTGGTATATAAAAATTTTAGTGCACTAATTGAAGAATTTCTGTTTATATCAGAACAAGTACAGAAGAAACTTAAGACATTAATATTCTCTGAGTTTGTGATAATTCTTAATACAATCACAAAACAACTGATTTTATGTACATTTAAAAATTAGTATATAAAATCTCATAGATGGGGTCCATTTTTTAAAAAAATTTCCAAACAGAATCTATTGTTCATATACACATATATGACATTCTTTGTTACCTTGATGGCCTTTTAGATGTTATGTTGAAATTATATAAGAAAGATTTTGATTTGTTGGTAGCAATCACATTCTTGAGACACTCATTCGAATTATACATTGCATATAACAATACATAAAAATATCCTTATTTATAATTTGTATGTGAAAATATGTTTTAATCTATCTTAATATGGAAATAATAACTTCTGACTAAAAATGTATGTATGACTTGATTATCAGAACAATTTCAATGGCATATCTATCAATATTCCCAGTTTAAGAATTATTTGATTTTTATCTATATATTGAATTCCATGGCCTTAAAATCTTCTCAACTATTGCCAATGTGTTTTCCTCTCATTGGGTGCTTATGAATCTAGCCTTGTGTCAACATCCGATATTCGTCGTTTTTCTTTCGTTCAGTAATTGGTGCAATCGCCAATTTGTTAGGAGTTATTTCCCTTGCATCAAATCGTTCGAACATAATTTGAATTAAAATGTCGGCGAAAATTTCACGCTTTTCCTAGTTTAATTTTTTTTTTTTTTTTTTTTTTTTGAGCATATCACTCCAAGCAAGGCGGGAGTGCCACTAGCACGCAAGGGGTTACAGAGAGTGAGAGCAAGCGTAAAGAGGGGAGTTTAGGGAAAAGGATAAAAAGAAGAAGGGGAATCAAGATCAAGGCATCAGGAGATGTTGATTGGCATTACATTTGAATATTTGAAGATTATAACTATAAGGGAGTTCTACTGTCGAGAAGAGCGAGATAAGACGGTGTTGGAGTAGAAGAGACAGCTATATTTAGCCATTTCAACAGTGAAATAGTGGGACCGAGATGCCAATATAGTTATCACACTTAAATTCATGCAGTTTGGGAACCAGTGAAAGTAGTTCATCAGAGCAGTTGCCATGAAAATACTTATAGAAAAGACAGAGGGAAACTACAGCACGTCCGTGAAAAAGTGACTGTATTGAATCATAATTGAATGAGATTGATTCTGATTGGTTAGTTGGTTGATCACCATATCAACCTCTACGGATTATTTAATGCCAAAATCTAAATATTTTGTACACTATTTATTTTATTTATTTACTTTTTAAATAATAATAGTTTTAGGGATACAAATCTTATTAATTAACCCATAGCAGGGTAGAAGAGGTGGATTCATACCTTTCCCAAATATCTTCATGAAAGTGAATATAATGAGGAGGAGGCATGGTGGAGTAATGGATAGTGGCTTGGATTGAGGAATCGGAGAGCTGAGTTTGAATTCCAATCAGATCTATTGCATTCACTTATATGCTAATACCCTTGGAAAAAGTCTGAATCCTCTTCTTCTCCCCCCAACTATGGGTAAATAGCAGGACAGACTGGGTTCAATAGCCTTGGGTAGCAACTGGCCTAGAAGACCAGTCTGGAGAGGATTGGGCTATCTGCAGTACATGTAGTGCCCCTAAGACCCTGATGGGTCATGGGATTCATGATCAATTGAATATAAAGAATCCAACTGGAATTGGAACTTGGCTCTAAGATTAAAAATTACAATCCATTATCCATTACACCACCTGCAAAACCAAGCTTACAGCATCTGGTATTCCCAAGAGATCGTCCATCTAGGTACTGACTAGGCTCGACATTGCTTAACTTTGGGGATCTTACAGGAACTGGTGTTTAAATGTGATGTAACTGTAAGACAAGTACCTTGTGGGTTCCACAAGTATAAAATACCTGTGGAGATTCCCCTTTGCATTGTTAAGTATTTAAGCTTAACAACTTTATCAAAATGTTGCTATAACAATCATAAGTATGAATGCAGGTCATTATTTAAAGAAGTAAGAGGGTACAAATGAAAAGACTTGAAATTACCAAAGACTTCCATTTGAAGCAGATGTGTAACACACATTATCGAATCCTCAAACTTCCCTGTCTTTTTCTCAGTGAAACTAAATAGCATCTTCTCCATCTTTCCTTGAGATCAAAACTAAACACTCCATTACACCAGAGTTTAACATATATACTAGCTAACTAAAGAAGTAGACATTTACTCTGTCTTCCAACTTAGATGAATTGTGACATGAGGTCTTTTTTAAGGTGGGCACCTGAGCATGTACGCCTAGAAACAAAATTGCCCGCACTTTCCACAACCGTCGGTTGCGCTGGCCTCAGTGCAAGCACCAATCTCTCTCTCTGGTGTGATGAGAGGGAGTGGCCTCAGGCAGCTGTTCCCTAGGGCTAGGCACCTCTCAGTATAATTTTTCTCAGTTGCAATTCTGTCCTTTGATGGAGTCACCACTGAGTGCACTCTGCCCAAAGACAGAGATGCAACTGAGAGATGATAAATAGATGTGTTACAAACAACTTAAAGGGTGATTTACACACTAAATAAAGTACTAAGGACCAAATGGAATTATAATATGGTACTTGAACAAATTGTTTCTGTTGACGTCCAAATGTTTTCATCTTCAAATGTGCTATTAGAATGGAAATACTCTTTCCAAATGTATAGACACTATTCATACATAAATTTAATTTATTTTTCAATGTTCCTTCAAATAAAAAATTCTGTAAAAATATTTTTAAAGGTATTTTAAGAATATATTTGTGTCAGATGTTTTTAGAAATCCATTTATATAACAAATGTGAGAGAAATAATTTACTTTGTTGTTCACTTAAAAATTTAGAAACTTTGATTTATTCATAAAGTTATAAATAATAAAATTTGTCTTCTAAACTGGTTAATTTAATTGCCTACATTAACACTCCACGGTCAGAGTGCTTTATACTGCAAGCATTCACAAACTGCCTTTTGCAATCTTTTTTATTGTATCAACATTTGGTTGGTAAACTAGTAAGTTTGTATGGAAACTTCTTTTCAGTAAAGATTTAATTACATTTAAATACTAAATTGATAAAATATGTTCAATAAACAAATTAAAAAAAATGTAGCAATTAAAATATGTAGGGTTCAGAAATTTTTCATTTGATTTCCATATTGCATTTGATGTCTCAAAGGCATTTGACAGGGTTTGGCATATTGATCTTCACAAGTTAAAATGTTTTGTGTAAAGAAAATATTAACAAGCTGACAATAATTCAATTGTTTTGATAAAATAGGCAAAAAAAAAGGCTTGGCTACTTCTGACTTAGCTATTTTCTGCTTGGTAAAAGGTAGTCACACCCACTAATTTTATTTAAATGTAGGATTAGATGCAAAAATTGTGCTAACATAACACAAGATTTTATACTACAAACGAAATAAGCAAATTTTGCAGATGTGTGAGAGAATCAAAAAGGAAACATTATTTGCTTTTGCTGTTGGTGTTACTTGTAAAATGAAACAATCATAAAGTCTCATATAGAAATAAATCATATCTTCTGTTTTAAATCATGTTTTATTTCCATCTGCAGCAGTTTGGGAACTTATATAGTTTATATCTGTTTTGTTTTTTAAGAATTTTAGCCACTGGGAGATTTTAAAAAATTTTCAGCCATGGAAATATTTTTTTAAAGAATTTCAGCCATGGAAATATTTTTTTAAAGAATTTCAGCCATGGAAATATTTTTTTAAAGAATTTCAGCCATGGAAATATTTTTTAAATAATTTCAGCTGTGGAAATATTTTTTTAAAGAATTTCAGCCATGGAAATATTTTTTTAAAGAATTTCAACCATGGTGAGATTTTTAGGCTGTTACATTTCTTTAAGTGACAAAGTTGCTGGGGGATGGGTGTTTGTTTTTTTTTATTTTGTTTTTTATTGAAACACCATCTCTAGATTTCTATCTAAGGCTCAAGAGCTTCTATCTGTCAGTTAGGTGAGGATTTGTTCAATCATCAATGGATTCCAAATAGTTTCCTCTATCCAATTTTACAATTTACTCAAGTCTTTGACATAATCTCAAATTCCTATTTTCTTTTGGTAAATAATTTGTTCAATGCAAAATTCTGATCACTTGATAATAAAAGTCAAAAATTACTTACAACTGTGCAATAAAATAAAATTCTGTTAAAGTACAAGGAAGAAAATAAAAAAAGATAATTATGTTACAGACCTTGTTCGAAGATGGACTGTCTGCCCTTTGTAGGCAGTTGTTTCAGAACTCACTGTTGTCCATGTCAATTGATCATCAAAACTGATTTCAGTTTTCAAACCAGGAAAAGCAGAAATCACAAAGAGTTTATTTTCCTTATTCCGACTGTAAATACAAAGTTTTAGACAAGAAATTAAATGTAATGTATCTGTATAATAGAAACAGGATAAAGAAACTTAACTTTGACTTGTAGACTCGTCCTTTCCTACCTATCACCCCTAGTAACAGAACAGTCTATATCTTACGCCTACGTACGGAAAACTTCAACCAATAAAAAAACGTACTAGGCGAATCAACAAATCTCATTGGTTAACGACACAATAATCTGAAAGTTTCACGTGCAAAACAAAATTGCGCCAAAACTTCTTTGAGCCGATTTTGAACTTTCAAAAGATATAAAAGAAAACGCCGACTGACCAAAGCAGTCAGAGATGAACATCCACAGAGAAATTGCCAACATACTCCACGTCACTCGAAATCATGATTTTACCGCACAAAAGTACATCAATGCTGACTCACTTGCAATTTAAACTTGACCAACTCTGTGGACATCGAATCGCAAACCTAAAACAACTTTGCTTATCCAAAGTGAATTATATTCACTACATATTAAGTAAAAATCAATGTTCAAATGATTCAGAAATATTACAGTCAAAGGTAGATCACTCCATAAGAACTTATTCCAAAAAGCACTTAATATCGACATTTTTAATATTAACACAATTCCAGAAAGACTGTAAATGAACATACAAATACTAAGAGAAACATACCGAAACCTAAAATATCACACATACTTTGCCATAGTAACATATACCAAAATATCCTGTATATATATATTACTTTGAATTGTATATAAATGTTTTATTGGTTTCTAAATTGAATATGTCTTGTTTTTGATTGTATTTAAAATTTGTTTATTTATTTGTTTATGGATGCAGAAAGTCACGCAACATACACAAATTCCTTCTGATTCTCTCAATTGCAATTAATAAATTCTGCACATCCCCAACAGACTCACTAAAATTTTATTCAGCATATTTTTTTCATTCAATTGGTTATTTGTTAAATAATCCTTTATGTAGTTAACAGTGAGCAGATATAAACCTAAACGTATTTAAAATCTATTAAGATTAAGGGTATTCATATTAAGGGTATTCATTATGAAGCATATCTCTAGTCAAATCTATAACCAAAGAAACAAAAACTAAGGATAAAAATAATGTAGCTAATGAAAATGTCTAATAATTTATATAACTTAGTAAAATAAACTAACAATGCACATGAAAATTTCAGTTTTCCTATTTGAATTTTCTATTAAATCATACTTATTAATTCAATGAATGAATAAGCTCCCTATGAGTTTTATGAGTATAAATTATCTGGGGAAATTCTGTTATTGTATTGTAAAATATTTGAGCTGAACAACTTTAAGAAAACATTGCAATAACAATTATAAGTTTAAAGGTCATTATTTGAAGAGGTCAGATTTGAAATTGTCAAAGTGTTTTCCATTTCACAGAAGCACATGTTAAACATATGAAAGTATTATCACCTCGTTTATCATCCCTTTCTTTCTTTTGCTCTTATTATGTATACTTTCTTTTTCTCAATAAAATCAAACAGTGTCTGTTATATAATACAGAGAAACTTCAGTTCTCAAACATCTCACATGTCGAACAAATTGATTTTTGAACAGAAAATTTGAGATGAAAATGCCTTGGTTATCGAACAGAATTTTGTTTTTTGAACAACATTGCCAAACCGAGTTAACCTGAATGGAATAATTTCTGAGTCGACCACCGTGTTGTATACATTCATGTGTTGTATCTGTCTATATTTCTGAGATGAGGTATTATGTACACATGGCCCAGTGGATAAAGGCATTAGTTAGATCCAGTGACAGGACCCAAAGAGTGTGAGTTCAATACCCAGTTAAGGCAGTGGAGAACTTGGGGAGGGGAATTAACAGGAGATAACTGACAACTGACTTCCATTAAACATGGCACGTGGAACTAGAACAGTCTACCCCAGTGAGTGAAATAAATGGTTCAGTTTGATATTCCAACTACCTGAAGATGGTCAGAGCATACAACAGCTGAAACATTGTAATAAAAATGGCGACAAAGATGACAATAGTGCAAATGTAAATAGTGTTCGTGTGTTGTGTCATGCTTTTCTTTTCCAATTTTATTGTACTGGGACTTTTTTTTCCACATTGACCCCTATTTGAAAAATAGTTTTGGTTTAGGAACATTTCGGATTACGAACAACCTTCAGGAATAAATTAAATTCATGAACTGAGGTTCCACTGTGCATGTACAGGGTGTGATGGGTAAATGGTCGCTATTTTATCTTTTTAATTTTGCACATGCATGCATATTGTTTGTTTTTGATTTTGTCAACTGCTTAGTATAGCAGGGTCAGTTGGGCACCATCTGTGAGAAAAAGAGAACCATGACACAATTCACTCCACCAGAAATTTGGAAACGACATGTTGTACTGCTTGGCATTCATGCCGAAAGCTCCAATATGAACATTTCAAAGTGTTTGGGTATCAATCTGAGGACACTGCAGAGGATTCAGAAAGAGTTGGATGAGTCTAATGGCGATGTTATACCTCCATTAATCTTTGCACAGGGCCTCGGACTCAACTCAAAGGCCAACATCAAGTGTGTTGAGGAGGTAGTGCTACCCTTGGTCAAGAGGGTAGCTGCTGGAAGATCCTATGTCTGGTAACAGGACTCTGCACCATGCCACACAAGAACGAGGACCCAGTCATAGCTGTCAGACAATTACTGCAACCACATCACCCCTTAAAATCTTGAATAAAGTTTCATCAAAGAAATAATTGATTGATTTAACGACATATCAACTCCTTATGGGTCATTTAATGCTGAAATTTAATTTTCTTGGGATCTTTGAAGTAATAAAAATATGATATTATTCTGCTTTCACAATTGAATGCATGGTAGATGATACGCAGATTTTGTTCATATACATGTTTGTGTAAATGTGGGGGATATGTTTTTTTTATGTTGTAGTTTTGTTGAAGTTATATTTTGAAATATAGTTTGATTTCTTTAAGAAATTATAGAATATTATATGGATTAATGTCATGAAAGAGTTCTTTCATCTTGGTTGGTTGATTTTGTTTGGCAGCATATCAACACCTCTATGGGTTATTTAATTCTGAAATCTAATATTTTGTATGTAATTTTATGCTTTCAACTCCAGATATTTTGTACATCATTTATACTTGTTTATATAGTGTTTTTTAGATATATTTTGTAGATCATAAAATGTATTGTTGATAATTTTACTATAAAAATGTACTGTTGATTTTTGCTTGGGGGTTCATTATTTGTCCATAGCTGGGACCCTAACAGGTGCTACCAATCCAGGTCGACCTCAGGAAGTCAGAGATACACTTTCTCTAAATAATAGTCTGCTAAATTATTATTTAACATGGGCAGCGCATGTCCGCCATTGCACTACTCTACCATGAAAGTCACCCTGAACCACTAGTGTGAGAGGAAGGGGAGTGGTGACCACAGTGATGCAAAAATGCAATAACTGAATAAATGAATAAAATGTATCAACTTACTAAGCACCAGGTGGTGGCACACGATAAGTGACTCCAATTTTATCCAAACGAAGCAGTTCTTTGTAGCCAACGGTGTTTGCAAATTTGGTCCAGTCATTCTTCAGAAGGGAATCTGCTGAATCCTTGCCTGCAGTCTCAAATTTGGCTTTGTGCCAGGCTCTTTCTGCCACAGCGATTAATCTGGGGAAATACATCTCAAACATCTGTTCACTTGTTCTCACAGTCTCACTCCATAGATGTCCTTGCATTCCTGGAATGAAAGACAAAAAAAAAAACAAAAAAGAAACAAAATTTTTATTGCTATAACATCTTTTTGATTCTATAAAGGTCTTCTTAATGACTGAATAACTTTAAATTAGCTAAAGGCATTATTTTCTTTCAATGGTATAAAAATTTCATTTCTCTACTTAGACTGTCAGATTTCTTAACAACTGATGCACAGCTTGAGTCAGTTTATGGCCACATCATATTGAAACATCAATTCCCATAAAATCAGTGAAGGTAATCAACATTGAGCCTGGTCAGTATTTAGATGGGTTACCATTTGGGAATACTGGGTGCTGTAAGATCAGATCTGTGGGTGCTGTAAGATCAGATCTGTGGGTGGTGTAATGGATAACAACTCGGAATTGAAAATTGAAGAGTCAAGTTCCAATTCCAGTCAAGTTCATTATATTCATTTACTCTTGGGAAAAGTATGAATCCACCTTTTCTCTCACCAGCTATAGGTTAATTAGTAGGGCTTGCATCAGTGAATCATTATTATCTCCAAAAAGTTCTTACAAGACACAAATATTTTCTGTCTTTAAATAACCTGTAAAGGGTTGATAAGCTGTAAAAAAATCAATCAACCGTGGCTTTAGTTATGGTTTTAATAACACTAAACTGTAAGGTTTACAGATTGAGAACACAAAGACATCTTTTTGGTGGGTAATTGAATGACAAAATGAAAACTAATACAATGTTCTTATTGATGGAATTATATATGGAGTGATGAAAATATGAACAAAAATGTCAATTATAATCATATATTAAGGAGAAACACGGAAAATGTAGGGAAGCTAAACTTTAAATCTAAATTTTAAATTTCTGACATCCAATGTGTCTAGACATACAGCTTTGCCAATTTCATTCAGTTTCCCAATGCTTTTGTTTTGTTTTATCACTGTTGTTTTTAAATATCTCACTTTGTGATAGTTGTAGATTTGTCAAGAAAGGTGAAATGTGTCATGAACCTGGATGCAAATCTACCAGGGACAGCTCATAAATTTGTGCAATTTCTACACATTTTCACCTTAGTAAATTATTTTCTCTTTTAATTAAAACTGCACTTGTTAAGTCCAAATTATGGTCAGATTCATTATGATGAATGATGACCACACTGAGTATGTTGCTTTGTAAAAGATCCTTTTTGTGTTTATATATATATATATATCACTCAGTTGTATGCCATGCGTGATACACACGTAGGCGATCATGTAACTTTTGATACATGACTAGGTTGTCATTTCTTTCTGTGGTAGACCAGTTGCCATCCAAGGCTATAAAACCCGATCTGTCCTGCTATTTACCCATAGCTGGGGGAGAAGAGGATTCATACCTTTTCCAAGGGTATTAGCATGTAAGTGAATGTAATGGATTCGACTGGAATTCAAACTCGGCTCTCCAATTCCTCAATCCAAGCTGCTATCTATTACTCTACCATGCCTCCATACATATATATATATATATATATATATATATATATATATATATATATATAATATATACAGAATATATAAAAGATGCTTTTTATGTTTCATATATATATATATATATATATATATGAGAACACAAAAAGCATCTTTTATATATTCTGTGTGTGTGTGTGCATATATATATATATATATATATATATATATATTTATACACGTTTCATTAAATAATATAGACAAGTGTTGTCTATTTATTTTATGTAAAATTTTTTCGTATCTTCTGATAAGTTTGGTAACATTATCATTAACCGAAAAAAGAAATTCACAATATTTATCCATTATTTTTTAATAAAATCTAAGCTTTCGGCTTACTCAAGCCATTATCAAAGATGTAAATACAAACATATCAACCAATGGAGATTAAAATTGGTTTCATCCATATAAAGAATTAGCACACTTTGGGACTGAAATTCTAATAAAGCTACTGTGTAATCCTTATGTTTCGCCTTATTGACATTATTATTGGCAGCTTCTGGTTCATAATGAACCACTTTTAAAGTAAAGGCCATGGAGTCCAAGTGCTTTCTTATGCATTCTTTCATCACACGAACCTCATACTTTTCAACCAACTTATTTACAATGTCTTGAAGAGTGACCCTAGGAGAGTTTTCAATTAATTCGGCCATAAAATTCTTATGCACCTGCGTAATTTTATATTTTCTTGCTCTCCCCCTAGAATCACTCTTATCAGCACCCTGGTCTAACCAACAGTACGCTGTTGGCAGAGGCACACCAATTGTTCTTGCCAGGTCTTTCCAATTTCCCAATGTGGCATGTGCAGCTAAAATTTGGGCCTTTTTTTCGCCAGCCACAGTTTTCTTGAGGGAAGTCCTCTTTGGAGCTGTTGCTAATTCTCCTTCAGCTTCTTTTCTAGAGGTTTCTCCAGCATCATCATCAATCATCATTTTTGCCCATACGGGACTTTCTCCTCCTACTTTTACTGAAGGCTCACCCAATGCTTTCTTGGTCTCTAAGTTGTTTGTATTTTGGTTTTTTCTTCATCTATATAATGAAGACGAACAGTCAATTTCCTTACTCATGGGGTAAATTAATTGAAAAAATAATTTTCAATTTACCAAAAAAAATATCTCAATTTGAAGTTGTTTATTCCTATTTGAAGTTGTTTATTCTTATTTTGAAGTTGATTGTTTTTAGGTTTTTTACATTTTCTCAATTTGAAGTTGATTAATCCAATTTGAAGTTGATTGTTCCATTTTGAAGTTGATTAATCCAATTTGAAGTTGATTAATCCATTTTGGAGTTGATTAATTTTTTTACTTGAAAGTAAGTCCATTTTGAAGTTGAAAAGGTATAGAATTAGCAAAAGTAATACAAAAATTATTTTAACTTTGAAATCATTTCCATTTTTTTAATGAGTTCCAGAAAAAAATATGAACATCAAATTTTTTAAAGTTATTTCAGCAAGCTGGAAAATTGTAATGAAATAATTCAAATAAAAAATATTAAAAATATTATTATTCACCATCTCAAAACAAATTTATTGCTACCTCAAATATTTCCCGCTTTCAGCCTGTTCACACGGTTTTAAATTTGTAAGAATGATAGTATCTTATTTTTTTTTCTTTTTAAATAACATGTTTCTTCAGGATCAAGATATGCTATAGTTTATTTTACCTTATCTGTGAATTATCATGCCTTCATTGGAAAGATAGTGGAGTGATTTCCCTTTGCTTTCTCTACTGTTTGAAATTCATAGCTTTCTTTCTTTTAGGCAGATTGTCATCCAAGACTAGAAAACCCAGTTACTGCTATTAAACCCATAACATTAAAAATATATTTGTCAACAAACAAGTTGAAGTTGTTGTTCGATTTAAATATGCAAATAGTGGAGACTATAAATAGTCTCCACTAAGCAAGAAATGAGAAAGTTGTCCATATACAATTTCTGTGAGTATTTACTTGAGTATTAAATACAATATACAACTATAGAAGACAGATTAAAAAAGGTTTTCATATCTCCAAGTGAAAACTGCAATTTTTAATGCATAGTAAAATACATCATATTAACCTTGTAAATATTTAAAACATTTACTAACTTTTTTTTAGATTATTTACAAGCTTAATTAAAGGAAATTTACCAATGTTTAACTTTGTGCCCACAAAAGAAAACAGTTTGTCAAAAGGACGGATTTCCCCTTGACACCATTACTTTAACTATCTTCACCCCTTGACAATGTTTATTGTTTTTTTTTTAAAAAAATGATTAGATTTGAAATAAAGCCTAAACATATGAAAGAGAACGTATACATTTTCTTTGTTCTTGAGAATTGACAACAAAAATAGTAAACACTATCTATTTATTATACTGTTCATTGGAATGGTTGGTGTAATATAGCAACAACTTTAAATAAAAACTTATGAAACTTTATTTGACTAATTCAGCTTTAGTGCTGAAAACGTTTATTATAGTGGATGTTTATAAATGAGATGGGATATGCATATTTCATTACAAACAGTTGGCAAAACATCAGTTAATTGCCAGTTGATTCAAACTCTATAAAATGTTAAGTAATAAGGACTTCATTATAGTCGGTTCACATATTTTTATAATTTAAATATTTATCTTAAAGAATAAACTTAACAACCAGAAATAAACATTGTTACATGCTTCGACATTTTTTAGGCTTGTGCTAATATTTAAATGTTGTTAGTGTCTTCACAAATATTTATGGTACTTTGAAAAAGACGGTATTTTGAAACACGATAGTATGGTATTCTTATCCATTTGATTGCTTTCTGCTGATGGTTACCAGTTCAGAATTGATATATTTTTGTATATAGAAAATGAAACATGTATGCTGCTTCAAGGTCAAACACGAAAACCTATTATATTATTATTATATTATTATTATTATTATTATTATTATTTTCTTTGCTTTCTGGCGTTTACACATTTCTTTCCGGGTCCCGCCCAGGGACCTAAGGTTAGAAATGGCATCATGACACTTTCCATTGACAAAAAAAAAAAAAAATTACATAGATAAAGCCCTTCGTAAAGTGTGGTCTGTACTTGTCAGAACAATTTTTTGTATCTCCTTGAGGCATGGACTTCCAGGAATCCCTTCAATTAGTCTGCTGCAATCTTTTCCAACCAGTCCTAGGGCTCCAACTACAACAGGGATTGTTGATGTTCCCATATGCCACATTTTCGAGATTTCTATTTCAATGTCCTTGTATTTTGACAGCTTTTTGAATATCTTCAAAGATACATTGCAGTCAGCAGGGACTGCCATATCAATAAGGAGGCACCGTTTTTGTTTGTGGTCTTTAATAACAATATCTGGGCGGTTGGCCTTGATTGTGTCAGTGTGTATTGTGTAGTCCCATAGAATTGTAACAGGTCCTATCTCCGTAACCGGGTCTGGATGGTGTTCATACCAGTTTTTTTCAGTTTCCTTCCCATAGAAGTTGCAGATTTTCCAGTGCAGATATTGGCCCACTCTGTCATGTCGGGTTTTATATTCAGTGGGTGCCAACATTGTGCAACCTGAATTATTATTATTAGTAGTAGTAGTAGTATTATAATTATATTCATTTCAGTCTTTATTACACAACTTCAATGCAGCCAAATTTTCTCAAAATAACTAATCTGCCAGGTATATATAAAAGACAACATATCTAGGAGTCACTCTGAGTAGTGATTTGATATGCTATTTGAATAATAGTCTGAATAGATGTAGTATCAAGTGTTCCAAGAAATAAGACTTGTGATAATAAAAATAAACACATCCCATCTCACCTCTTGCTTCCATTACATTAAATATAAACGTTTTTGGTGCTTTAGCTGAAATAGTCAAATAAAACTTCATAAACTTCTACTTGTTGTTTTTATTATATAACAGTTTTCATATTTCTTTTTTTTTTTTATAAATTGATAAATGATAAATATTGCGTTGTATTAGTTTTAATACAACTGTATTAGGTTTTAGAATGATGTAAGTATAAAATTATTCTTCTAAATAAACAATTTAATAAATAAATAGAGCACTATTTACATTGTTCGGACTGTTGTCCTCATCTTTATTGTCATATTCACTAAGTTTCGGCTGTTGTACATGCCAACCTTCTTCAGGTGATACAAACTGGAATTTCAAACCAAACTCTTTATTTCGTTCACTGGGGTAGATTGTTCTAGTTCCACATGCCATGCCTCTTCCAGATATCTCAGTTTCAGTTATTTCCATTTAGTAACTCAATGCTCCAAGTTTTTTTGTTCACCTCTGCTGTGGTCAGGTATTGAACTCACAAGTCTTTGGATTACTTCAACAAATTCTTTTATCCACTGGGCCATGTGTCCAGTGGATGAAATAAAGTGTTTGGAATTCCAGTGTATATCGCCTGAAGAATGTTGGAGTGTACAAACATTGTGAATATGACAAAGATGAGGACAACAGTACGAACAATGTAAATAGTGTAAATAATTACAATATCTCATCTCAGAAATATAGACAAATAAATGGTTTTTCATATTTTTGTTGTAAATTCTCAAGAACAAAGAAAATTCACTTTCATCATATGTTTAAGTTTTATTACAGTTCTAATCATCACTTTTTAAAACAATAAATATTGCCAAGGAGTGAAGGTAGTTAAAATAATAGTGGTGTTAAGGGAAAAACTTTACTTTTGACACATCATTTTTTTAGTGGTCACAAAGGTTAAAGATTGCCAGAAATTATCTCATTTAAGTGATAATCAAAATCCTTTTGTTGTAACCAACTTCAAATTATTTTTCCTGAAGAGAAACAAAAGAAGTTCAATTAAAAGTAAAAAGAATGAATTACCGATTATATTTTCTTTATTCTTCAGTTGCACACATTTTGTGCCTAGCGGGCCACAGACTTCTTCCAGGGTCAGTTTTTTGCCAGATCTGTTTGTATCAATATTGGCGTAGAGATTGTCTGGCTTAAAGCTAAATGTTTTCATTGTATCAATGTAACGAGGTGCCCAGTAGTAGCCCCTTTCTTCAGGATCTGGCTCGTAAGGGTGATCAAAATACAGGTGTGTGGCTTGAGACATGACTACCTGGAAAAAGAATTATCAGTTTTTGAAAGGTGTAATTTGTAACTAAGTTTTAAAAATATTTGTTAAAAATCTTACATCTAATTTATTTGCAAGGATATTTGGCTGTGTCACCACATGTTATTAATTTTATTGAAAACTATTTTTCCTTTCAATCCTTTTAAAATAACAGATTAAGTAATCAAGTAACAATAAAGAGAATGTTGATCTATTAATATTATTTGACTTTTCAGAGATGAACAAGGGAGGTAACTGCTCGTATTTTCTTAACAAAATGCTTGAAATGGCGATTTCAGAACACCATTATTCGTTTATATATATACCTACACTCCCACATGTCACATTTCAGGCTAATTTTTAACAGGCCTATTTGATTTATAGTCAATTTATGTCAAACCGCCCAAAAATGCACAAACCGGTTATTTTTTTTTTCTATTTTTAAACAGAAAATTAATAATAAAAGATTGTAAACAAACAAAAAAGTTATTAAAGAATTAACTAGTAATACAAAACAAATACAAGTAAAAAAGAACTTACCGACAGTTTTTCTATTAATCAATTTTTTTTTTGACTTTTGCTTTTTAAAAAAAAAAAAACATTCTACAATATTTTTTCGAACTTCATCCAATGAAAACTTTCGTTTGTTGTTGTTATACAATATATTCACAACAATTTTTGCAGCAAAGTGAATTCTTTTTCAGTGTGTTGTTCACACGTAAACACACATTTTGGAGAATAAGCTTCCATAATTCTTTCAGCAGACTCTCTTGTAGTGAATTCATTATGTTTTTTTTACAATATATTTATCTGCATAGTCAAGTATATCAAAACAGGCACAAACGAACTCTGCCATTTGGCTAGATGGAGCTGTAAGACCTCCTCGGGAAAGTAACAGTACTGCTTCTCTATAGCATCATCACTATCATTGCCTACCATGACCATGGAATACATTTCACATTGAAAATGTTTAATTAATTTCTTTGAATTTTCTCTAATAAAGAAAAAGATAGTGTCGGAGTTAGCTCCTCCTCAGCTCCTTAACACTTCACCAGGGGTCTCTCTCCCCTGGCTATAAATACTGGCTGACCCTTCGCCTCCATCACTTTTTTCCTCAGGCCTTCGGCCTTATACCACCTCGCAGATGTGAGCTCTCACAGATACAGCGTTTCCCAAATTCTGGGAACACGCTAAGAACAATACACGTACGTATGAACACTCACCACAACACACACACACACACACACACATAATATTCACCACACGCACTCAATGTAACTGTCCATGTGCTTGTAACCTGTAACTTGTATTTGTTGTTAATACATATATTTGTTTACATATATTTATCGGTCTTGTTTGTTTTGTTTGTTTTCTTTGGACTTAATTAAAGTCCAATATTCTCATGTGGTTGGACCGGCTAGCAGGAAATTCTACCCACATGGCTTCTTCTACAATACATACTCATCGCCACACCACGATCCGCTACAATGGTAATGGAAATTTTTCCAGAAGTAATTTGTAAGCTTGTTGAAACGTATAGCGCAGTAGTAAAGCATAATGTATTAGTTCTGCAGAAAATGAAGGACGACCTCTTGGTTGAAATATCTTTTTGTAATTCTTTTAGAATCGAGTATGGTTGTTCTTCAACTACGTTTTATGTAGTTTGAAAAACATTCTAACATGTTAGATCTTGTGAGTTTAACATTATGTCCACATATAAACCGCTGTAATAACCGTATAGGGGTTCCACTGCACTGGAGCTGGGCGTGAAGGTTTTGGTCAATGCGAATACATTCTTTTATAGATGGAAAATGTGTTTCAGGGTCAAAGACTATTCTATAAATTAGAATATAATCTTCTTTTTTTAAAATTCAAAACCGTTAGGACAACACTTTGCTTCTTCCAATTGAGTAAAATCCTTTATGGTATCAGCTGGAATAAAATCATGTAATTCATCAGTTTGGACCAGTCATTGTTTTAGGGGCTTTCTGAATTCCCTTGTGTTCGATAAAAGAAACGCTTTTTTTTCTGAATGTATTGTAGGTATCGGATGTAAATCCCAATTATGTTTGTTTCGTTTTCCTTTCAAAATAAATTTTTCTTCAGAATATTTCATACAGAGAACTGAAAGTTTCGTAGGAAACCAATCAGTACCAATTAACGAATTTTATCCAATTTTCTACGAGGTTGGATTTTCCAAGAGGAAAAGAAAATGTTGATACTTTTTCATTGTTATTAACATGTCCACTAGAACAGCCAAAATGCAACACATTTGTTAACTATTTTTGTTCAACAAAATATCACAACAAACCTTATAATTTAAATGCAATGGACTATGGAGGTAGAAAATTTACCTAACTGCGTTCGTTTGTAAAACGGGCTGTATACGCAATTGAAAATTATAAAAGCGAGGTAACTCACAGCCCTTTATAATTTGTGGATTAGTAAAAAGTAAAAAAATAAAAAGGGGTGTAAATATGCATTTTAGTATTGAAAACATGTCTAGGTAATTGAAATATCGTCTGATAGATTCTACGTAATTGTACGTTGTTAATTTATGTCGTAAGAATTCATTTTTTAAAGTTACTTTCTTTTTCAGCAATTTTCTAAGCGATGCCATTTACATTTTTTGTTTACATTATCAGCCTGTTAGAATTCAACTTGTTATGTGACATGTGGGGCCGTATAATACTAGTTAGTCATGATACATATTAAGGTAATAACTATAACAAAATGAAAAAAAACCCCGTGTGACGCGTTTCGGCATCAATAACTTCATCTGACTAAAAAGTGATGTTAACGTTGATGCGATTACGCATGCGCACGAAGGAAAAGGTACCTTGAGAATTTTAAATTTATTTTTTTTTAAATATATGTTTTGGGTATATATTCTAGCCGATTTAATTTACTTTCATTTTTTTTTTTTTTTTTTTTTTATTTTTTTTTTGCATCACCTTTGTTATTAAATATCCTACATTGTGATAGTAGAAGATCTGTCAAGAAAGGTGAAATGTTGTAAGAACCTGGTCGTAAAGTTATTGTGGATGATCTAGCGATTAAAGCACTTTCTATACGCTTTCGTCTTGGTAACTTGCTTACTCTTTTAATTAGAGAAGCATTTTTTTTCATCAAAATTATAGTCAAATTCATTACGGGGAGGAACTAATGCATTTAGTGAATTGCTTTGTAAAAGATAACTTTTGTATTCATATAATCTTTTATTTAAATTCCTTGAGGTTTGTTATACTGGAACACACATATTCTATAGTTAATAGACTCTCCCACCTATAATAAGTAGGAGTAGTAGTAGCAGTAGGCAGTGAGTTGGTCAGTCAGTCGACTGGCTGATCGGTTGAACTCTCTGCCTTCGAGCGGGGAGGAACCCGAAAGAGGCTAAGCCGAAGGGCGGATTCTCTTTCGGGGAGGTAAAGCGACCCTGAACCCGTTTATACGGGTTCAATGGGCATATTTTTGGCCGAGCCTACGAGCTCGGAGATCCCACGTTAAACCGGCCTTGTGCCACATGATGCCTTCGTGGGGGGTGGGTGGTGAGTAAATATCGAGTTGGTCAGTCAGTCGATGTCGGACGACCGTTAGTCGGATATTAAAGTATCAGCCACCACAACTAGATTACTGCATCATTACATATTATATGAAGTTCCTAACGTTTTGTACGTCGAACCTATTTTAGGACCGACTTAGTACAAATACAAGCCTCCACTATGAAACCACTACATAACAAGGGTTCTCCTTCTGCATTAAGATTACCAATGGAGTCGCGCTTAGTAAATCACTACTCGTTATATAAAATTATATTTAGTCTAGGATCAGTGACGTTTTGTCTTCAGGTATGACAAAGTAGAAATGAAGCTAGTCTGGCTCTGAAGCGCCCATACCGCGTATGTTCCTTCTCATTACAATTCAAAAAGGAGGGTAGCCGTGATGACATTGTAGCACAGGGACAGGCTATTTTTGGAATCTACCCATACATACATGTTTGGGGCCTCATATTAAACTGATCTTTCGTCATATTTGCCTTCATCGAGACATGGAATAAATACTAGGATTAGGGGTCTTCGAACGAGACACGGTATAAATGAAACGTGCCTAAATATCTGGAGATCCTTATAACAGGTAGAACCCCCACCTCTGCACTAACGGGCTATGGGTAAGTCCTTATGTCTAAAGTAAAAGCCGGTGGGACTAGGTAGTTTGGGCCTTTATCCACACACACATGTATGGAGGCCAACATTATAATTGTCCTTGTGTTCTATTTACTTTTGATATGGTATGTATATCTACTGAGAAGGTATCTATACCACCAGAAAGGTTTTCAACAAAATGATACAAAACGAAGGCTAGCGCTTTGAAATTTTATGAAATATCTATTGCATAAAATGATATGAAAATAATAAAAGTCTAGATGTGGAAAAGGTAAACAAAGAAAAGTACTGGAGGTGCGCTTCCCTTTAGGGCTGTGACACGACGCATTAGGTGAAGGAAAAGAGAAAAGAAAGTTTCTTTTGGAAAGAATGTTTTTTAAAAGGCGCTAGTCCGCTGGCGGCTACTAACTTGTTTTCTCTACAACCAATCGTCTTGTGTCGTCGCCTAAACTTAGCAAGTCTTCGTGAGAGACAAACAAATGGCATCTGCCAACTAAGTTTCATTGAAAAAAACCGGGAAATTACGCACTAATCTGAGAAGAGTACGAAAGTATTTGATTTTTATATCCGTTGATTCCTAGTTAAGTTTTTAGGCCGTCGTGGCATTTCTGTAAACATCATAACATCACAGAAAATTACACAGAAGAAAAAAGACAAATTTCTTTACATTATATTACTACCTGTAATGTATTCACTTCTATGAAAAATCGCTTTCCTTGTTCAGTGGTTGAAAGACAAGAATTGCTTTGAAACAGTATAAATTAAACCACTACAAGATTAAAGTCTGTTTGTTATCTAATTGGCCTGTCAACGAAATTTCACTTCAATTATAGAACTTTTAAATTGATGTCTGCCTTCCTATATGACAATTTCATGACAAATAAGAAAATGGCTTACGGCAACCGATATGTGTGTAAAAGAGATAGACAATGAGGAAGTTCTAATGAGTACAGTGTTTAAGTTTAAAGCTCCAAAATGACACTACGTGATTGCCCAAGAGAGACGTCGCCAAGTGGATTAAAGCACTGATTAAAGTACACTATTTACATTATTCGGACTATTGTCTTCATCTATGTTTCCATATTCATCACAACGTTTCGGCCATTGTACGCACCGGCCTTCTACAGGTGGTTGGAATGTCGAACTGAACCCTTTATTTCGCTCGCTGGGGTAGACTGTTCTAGTTCCACGTGCCATATTTAATGGATGTCAGTTATCAGTTATCTCCTGTTAATTTCCCTCTGAAAGTTCTCCACTGCCTTAACTGCAAAACCTTTGATATCCACGAAATGGAAGATAAACACGTGCATCGTTTAACTTTGAGAAAAGTTATTAACTTCCCAAAATTTGTTCATACAACGGAACACTTTGTGTTGTTATTATTGTTACTACTGTTGTCGATATATTCTTCGAAAGGAACATTTCTAAAGTTTTATATATAAACTCATGGGCAAAACTTCAGGGGTTTATCGGATCTTGTATTTAAAAAATAAAAAAATGACAACAACAACAACAAAAAAACGAAGTTTAATTTCAATGCTAAGGATAACATTAATTTTCTCTAACCTACACTATTTACACTATTCTTATCTTTGTCGCCATATTTATTACAACGTTTCGGCCGTTGTACACTCCGGCCTTCTTCTTCGAACTGAATCCTTTATTTCGCTCACTGGGGTAGACTGTTCTAGTTCCACGTGCCATGTTTAATGGATGTCAGTTATCAGTTATCTCCTGTTAATTCCCCTCTCCAAGTTCTCCACTGCCTTAACCTTCCAGTCAAATATTTGTAAATGTTCTATCGTTTTAGCCCTTATATAGATATTGAACTCACGACTCCTTTTGCCACTGGATTAAAATCGCACTCCATCAAAAAAAAAAAAAAAAAAAAAAAAAAAGATGTCATCGTGCAAGAACTCTTAGAATAAACTTTACCCAAGATAAACCACTTTTTATATGTTGAAACATCGATTAGCTGGAAGATTTAGACTCTAGAATAAAAGACGCAAAGTTATTTGTGTTACTGAATTAAAGTTTTGTCTTCTTGAAATCTATTCTCTTTTAATCGTTAGAGAACCTTCTTTGTCTTCCCTTAGTATGACTGATGCTAACCCACAGGAAAAAAATCCATTGCTCCTTTCCGTTCTAACATTTTCCAGTGACATGAAATAGAATGCTTATATTGAATCAAATTCCTAGGACTGTTCCTAGGAAAATAGGTTCACTGTGTCGTTCTATTTTTCTCACCAGAACCTACCTTGCACCTTTATAAGTCTACCATTTGTCTTTGAATATTGCTGTCACATCTGGACTGCTGCTTCAGCTATATATTTGGATAGTTTTGACAAAATCCAAAGAAGAATCTGAAATATTATTGGTCCTGACCTGGCATCTCCACTGCAGTTACTTTCCCACCATCATAACCTTGCTTCCCTGTGCTCTTCATAAACATATTTTCAAAGTAACTCTTCTGACGAGCTTTCCTCTTTGGTATCTAGACTTTACGAATTTTAGCGTAGTACTAGATTGGCAGCTAGGTCTCATCATTTTACAGTTGATATTGCTCGATGTAACCATAAGTTCTATAGTAACAGTTTATTCTCTTGTACTTCTCGCTTGTGAAACTCTCTTCCGGTTTTATGTTTCCCAGTCAAGTTTGATCTTCAAAACTTTAAACGCAATGTAAATCGTTATCTTCTGTCATGAAGTGGAAAAAGTATATTTAATCAATTACTAAGTCTACAGATCTAAGTCCTTACAAATCTACCATTCATCTCGAGGTTCTTGACAAAAATCCAAAGAAGGAACTGTAATGTAATCGGTTCTGACCAACTTCAGTCACTTTCTCACCAACGTGACGTGGCTTCCCTCTTTCTTTTCTATAAATATTTTCATGGCAACTGCTCTGACGAGCTTTTTTCCTTGGTGCCCCGTCTACACGAATTTAAGCTTGCTACTAGATTGGCAACTAGGTTCTACCCGTTTACTGTTAAAATAGCTAAATGCAACCGCCATTTCTACTCCAAAAATTTCTTCTCTTGCTCTTCCCATCCGTGAAACTCCCTTCCGTTTTCAAGCTACAATCTTTAAATATTTAAATGCAACGTCAATTGGCATCTTCTGTCTTCTTGAACCCTGTTCAATTTTTGTCCTTTTCTTAATCCTCCCTATTTCCAGTTTGCTCTTTGTCTTTCACTTTAACTCCCTGTAACACCCCTGTGTACTAGGGGTATTACCGCCTTGCTCGATTAAAAAAAATTAAAATAAAATAAAAAATAAAGTTATAGAGAGTTTCTGCACACATCATTTTGATTTCGTATCAGTTTTTGGAGCATTAATGATTAAATTAAATTAAATTAAATTAAATCTTACTTTGAAACCGTTGTTGGCAAATCGGTAAGCACGACTTGAGCGATCCCATTCCCAGACATTGTCCCAAGCATAGACGATGATATCAGAATTGGGCAGTTCAGTCCTGTTAAAAGGGATCTCTTGGTCACCCATCATTCCATCTTCCCATGCACCGAGATTTAGCGATTGCGACGCTGTCATGTTGGACACCAGCTTGACAAAATGCTTTTTCACCTCACTGGTAGATGTCACATCACCGTTCATCAATTTCTTACAGGCTGGGGAGTCGATCCATGCACCGTTACCAACTTCATCACCGCCGAAATGGTAGGTACGTAACGGCTGAATATTCTTATGCATGTCCATCACTTCGCTTAACACGTGCGCAACAAACAGCGAAGTGCTCTGCATGCATGGATTGGCTGCATTGTCCGAGAACATCTGAACCGATTCGTACACAGATTTGTCTTTCGGATCAGTCAGCAAGTATAGTTGTCCGGTTGGGTCCTTGTTTTTCTTGGCCCTCACCTCCATCGACTTGATAGCCGCTCGAGCGTGTCCCGGCATATCGAATTCCGGTATCACTTCAATGTGACGGCTTTTGGCAAACCTGAGAATTTCTTTATAATCATTCACAGAGTAATATCCATTGACAGGAGCACTGGCGTTAGGACCGGATCCTAATTGTGACAAAAGACATGTCTCCTCAGTTAAATCATCACAGCGTTTGGAACCAACCTAGAAAAATATAGAAGTGACAGGTAAATTGTTGTAATATATATTAAAGCATATTTTATAATAATTTTAACCAATCTAAGTTATCTGGCATTGTTTGAAATATCTCCTCGATGTTTTTAATATAATGTTTATTAACATTAATATTTAATTTTGAATGATGTAGGGGTAGCATAACAGTTATCGGTGTAGAAAGTGGAAACAGCGAGCCGAGTTCAAATTCCGACTTGGTCTGTTGAGTTCACTTTTGCACTAATGCTCTTGGGAAAGGTATGAATGCATTTCTTCTCTCTCCACCTAAATATACATTAAATAATAGGGTAGACTAGCGTCTCTAGCCTTGTGTAGTAGACACTCTAAGAGAAGAAATATTCTGAATTCAAAACCACGGAGAAGGCAATAGGAAACCACTCCCGTATATTAAGTCATGGCAATTCACAGTTAATAACGGAAGTCCTGAATCCTAAAGGGACATTGGATAAAAAAGAATAACTAAGGATAAAAAGGTTACATAATATAGGTATCAGTTTTGTTGATTTTATATACATTCTTAGAGTTTGGGAATTTGGTAAACATAATCTTGGAATCTTGTGAAGGGCAACTTACACGATGATTACAGCACTTGAGTCGTCTAAACCATTTTCCCCGATATTCCAGCAAAACTAAGAAATAAATCAATTTATGAACACCTTTATGGATTCAAATCTCGCAATGGCTACCACTGGGGAAAAAGGAATCAGCGGACCGAGTTCAAATTCCCGCTTTGTCTATTGTGTTCATTTTCGCACTTACGCCCTTGCAAAAAGCATGAACCCATCTTTTCCCTCTGTCATCCAGCTATGGACTAAATAGTAGCGTAAACAGGGTTCTCTAGCCCTGCGTGGCAGCCAGTCTAGGAGAAGAACTGAATTCAACATTGTAGAAAAGGCAACAGGAAACCACTCCGCTGTCTTTCTCAAGAAGTCATGACAATTCACAGATGCTAAATAAGGAATAGGTGATAAGCCATGATCGCCTATGTCCTGAGGAGACATAGTAATAAAAATTAATAAAGTCATTATTTATATCTGGAGGTTAAAATTTACACAAACTCGGAATTTTGTGGAGAGCAGTTTACAGGAAAATTCTTCAGTCGTCTAAACTAAACTTCATTTTTTTTCTGATATTAAAAAAAAAAGAAAAAGCAAGGAGAAATATATTAATATATGAACACCTTTAGGGATTAAAAAATATGAACATCTTTATGGATAAAAAAAAACGTAATCAAATAGTCTGTAATTCACATGTCATTTTGTTTAAGCAAGTATCATGATTTCGTAATTTGAAAATCAAGGACTAAATACTCGTGTATGCTTCGGTCTTTTTTAAACGTATCCAAATAAAAAAAAATTGTTAAAATCGTGTAAATAAATATATTTGATGATTCCGTATTATCTTAGTTTGCTGGATAAATTCCAAAGTTATCCCCGGCGCTAAAAGTTCACCTTTAGCGCCGGGGATAATATTGAATTTGCTTGTATTTATTTTCTGGAATAATGTTGTTCAATTCAATAGCATTTCAAAGAATATGCGAGATTATTCGTCTTACCCTTCAGTCATTTTCTCACCGCCATAACTTAGCTTCTCTGTGCCTTTTCTATAAATACTTCCATGGTAATTGTTCGGATGGATTTTCCTCTAGACTCTACGAATTTAAGCGCAGTACTAGATTGGCATCTAGATTTCATCCTTTTACAATTAAAATGGTTAGATGTAAGTAAGCATAAGTTCTATGCTAACAGTTCCTTTTCTCACACTTCTCGCTTGTGAAAATCTTTTCCGGTTTCCTCCTTTCCAGGCAAGTTTGATCTTCAAAAAATTAAATGCAATGTCAATTGTTATCGGCTGCCTTCTTAATCCCTGTTCTTTTATTGTTCCCGATCCTTAATAATGTTTTACTCTTCTTATATTCTTTCAGACTCAGTAGCCCCCACCCCTGTGTCTTAGTGGCTTTGTTGCCTTGCTTGAGATGAAATGAATAAAAAATAGGTTCTCAATCCCTCTCCCACCTTTTCTTGAAACTGAAAACTAAACAGAAAATTAAATTTGTCTTCTTGGTCTCAATCTACGACAATGCGACGAATGGTACCATTTGTCTAAAATCATTACCGCAATTAATTTACAAAATAAATCATAAAAGTTAATTTTTTTTAAAAATTAACTTCTAAAACTTTTATGTAAATCTCATATGCAGAAAAATATCTTTTTCATTTTAATCATTTCGCACCAAGCAAGGCAATAAAACCACTAAGACCCAGTGGGTACTGTGTGTTAGAGAATATAGGGGAATATATTGAATTAAGGAGAGAATACAATAAAGGAACAAGAATTAAGAAGACAGGAGATAACGATTGACATTTCATTTAAATTTTTGAAGATCAAAATTGACTGGGAAGCAAGAAGCCGGAAGATAGTTCCACAAGAGAGAAGTGAGAGAGAAGAATCTGTTAGCATAGAACTTGCGGTTACATCTAATCATTTAAATTGTAAAATGATATTTAATATATATAATAATATAATATAGGATAATTCCAGAAAATAAGTACAAGGAAAAAAAAGAAAAAAAAAAAAGAAATGTCTATTTAAAATCAAAAGAAAAGATAGCGGTAAGATCACTGTAGAATAATAGACTTAAAAATATTCATTTTATGAGAGGGTCAGATGCAAAAATATAGAATAAGAAAACTTTAAAGCTTAGTACCCGTTATATTTAACACCTGATTTAGACCCGACCCCCCACAATTAACATCATCTGATTTAGCTTTGCAAACTTTTATTTTATGGCGCCGTACTTGAAGTTAGAATCCTTGAATAATGAACGCACAAAACTTAATTCAAACTCTGCAAACATTTGATAAAAATTCAATTGCTTTTACGCTATTCACGCCTGTTTTTGCTCGATAACTGTATTTAACTTACACTTGTCAGTTCAGGTAAGCCGGGGATTTCTAGCCGCCAACCCTCGTCATCAGTCAGATGCATGTGTAACTTATTCAACTTGTACATAGACATCACTTCCAGAAGCTTAAGGATATCACTTTTCGGGTGGAAATTCCTGGCCACGTCGATCTGCACCCCTCGGTACTGGTAACGTGGTCCGTCATTGATGAACGTAACTGGTATAATATAGCCAGAGTTAGAATCTCCCTGGATCATGCTAAGGAGAGACTGCACGCCATAAAACACTCCTGCCGGGCTGGCCCCTTGCACAATGATAGTCTCGCCGAAGGCGCTCATTTCGATTTCGTAGTCTTCACTGTTAGAAACGCCATTAAGTTTCAAATTATCGACCTTAAGGAAAATAAATTTCTTTTGTGGAGCCATGTCAATTTTGCGGATATGCAGTTTTTCTGGAAACAAAGGAAAAGTTGATAAAAAAAAACAAACTCTGTAATTGATTGTTGCAGATAGGCAATGGAAATAAGACAGAAATTGTAAAATAAAAAAATGAAAATTTGATCGCACATTGACATCTACAACCTGGTCTTGTAGCGCCACTAGTGTCGGATTAACCAAGTAGCAAAAGTGGTAAATGTTACGGGTCCCACATTTTTAGAGGGATCTGCATTAAATTCTTTCAAGCTCTCTGATGAAATCAGCATCTTACAATCTCGCAATGTTAATGTTTACAGAGCTGCACTTTGAATTATTCAACTGTTGAAGTAACATTAGGATATTTTCTGTTAATTTATCCATAAATAAAAAGAATTTATATTTACTAAAATGCACATCAAATTCTCGCAGAGCGGGGCCCTTCCATTGCACTTCGGTTGGGCTGTCCTTTGCGATCGCCCCAAATATGGGCGACTTGGGTACGCTATTTCTAAGTGAGGGGATACCGTTCGCGCTCAACCCGATAAATAAGCCAAAACATGTTTTTCTTCTTTTTTTCTAAATTGTAAAAAAATACCTTCTACACCCTTGTGCAAATTAATTGAACCAACCGCTTTAGTTTCCTTTTCTTTCACCTCGCAGGCAGTTTTAAACACACTGGAGTGACAGGGTGTAATCGATTTCTGTTTTTTCCTCAGATTAGGTCATTTGCAGTGGTGTACAGTAATATGAATCTATTTTTGGGGTGTATGATGAAATTTGTTTGGCCTTGTAAGAATATTGTATCATGCGTGATTACATCAGATTTTCATCACGCGCAGACACTATTGTCTCGACTGTCAATTAGTTGTCCTACGGCCATTGTCTGCGATGGACGTTACTCCAAGGAAACGCACGAAAATTGTAACGTTGCACGAACACAATGGCAAGCCTTACCAGTGAGCAAATGAATACTATCGACTGGCTCAGAAACTCTCCTGATTTAAATCCAATCGAGAATCTGTGGTCAATCTGCAAGGAACAACTTCATGAAATGGGCATACGAAGTACTAACATATACACTAGATCATGTTTCATTGGAAAATACGAAAAAAAAGTAAATAATAACGGAATTATTCGTTTTGTTTCAATTTGCACAAAGGTGTAAGTACCTCGAATATCATCCGCACTTATGAAATGTGAATAACTCCTTGATTTTTGGTAATTTTTCATTCTGAGGGTTGGAATTGTTGCGAGGCAAGCTGAACAAACTTTGATTTAAAATTTATAATTTCTTGGCGTGAATTAATATTTGCGTTAAGTAACTTTACATTATTTAAGGTGAATTAACAGAAACGATCCTAACATTATTATATCGAAGCTGTGAAATTAGAATCATTTGCCTCATATTTTTCTGGAATTGTTTATTACGTTGATAAATGTTAAATATTTATCTGTCTCATATGCTCTATCTCTACGATAATAAATAATTTATGCTTTAATACCTATATGTAATTTTTAATTTAGTGTTTCTTTATAATAAATCCTACAGACGTCCCACTAGCTTAATCCGGCTCAGAGTGTCACGCTAATAGATCCCCACTATTTTTATCATCCACAGCATATGATAGCAAGCTATACAACGTTATATGATCTTCAGCTATTCTTATTACATTTATATATGTCGTGTATATTGTATGTTTTAGAAATAATTAAAGTGACTCTCGGAAGAGAAACAATCCATTATTATAATTCGAAATTACAATTAGCAGATGGTGTTAACATTGAATGTCAATAATACTACGGAAAGAATATCTATTGTCGTACATTATTGAAACAAATCTATACCCACATCTGTTAACAGATAAGTTAATTGAAATTAGCAGTTGGAGCGCCTGTGTTAGTTTTAACAAATGTCATCAGTTTTAATGATGTAATTAAATGCTTTGTATTTGATTTTAACATCACTGATTTTCTCTGAAAAATCAATCATGAAAATCAGTCACGGTTTAGTTATTCACGCTCATCAGAATAATTGAAATTGCCTTCCAAATTTGAGGTTTGGTTTGGTTTAGATTGGCTTGTTTTACGGCATATCGACTTCAATGGGTTATTTAATGCTGACAAGATTTTTTATTGTTGGTAATATTTTTTCAAAAATACTTTTTCCTTCAAAAATGCATTGCTGGGAATATTTTTTTCTCAAAAATGTATTTCTGGTAATATTTATTTTCTTCAAAAATGTATTGCTGGTAATAATGTATTACTGGTAATAATTCTTCCTTAAAAGATTTATTGCAGTATTAAAACGTATTTTTACACTTAGTGTTTTTTGACCCCAGTTTTGGGGTTAACTATTTGCCCATAGCTGGGACCCTAACAGGTGCTACCACCCCGGGTCAGGTTGGATCTGGGAACACCAGCAATTAAGAGATGGTTCCACAATCCTCAAAACCTCCTGATCAGAGGCCTTGCTGCTGGACGTAGTTTATCGTCTTACCCAGGATGCTTCATTTTTTTGGTGTGTGTGTGGGGGGAGTATCCCTCTGCAGAGGCGCAGTTGGCCTATTCTGAAGTCCTAGTCGATAGGGCCACCCAATTTGAGTTTCTCGCCAAGAAAAATCCTGGTCACAGATTAATAATAGGTAAGCTTTTCACTGACATATAGTAGAAAGTTCGCAAGCTTTCATCTGAAATCGATAAAATATGAACTTAAAAAGAAAGTTTACTTGATTTTTAATAAACTTTTGAACTATACTCAGGACCGGTGCAAGGGTCTCGTGTTTCCGACCCCCGAATCTATGATACAGGACCCCCCACTCTACTACATCTCAATTTTCATAAGGTAGCATTCATATATAATTTTATTGTAACCTAATTATGTACAATAATGGATCATATGCAATATAGGTGAACAATTCAACTACAAAAATTGAAAATAAATACAATGTATCTAAATACAAATTAGAGACATGTCATAATAGATCATTCCATCTTAAAGAAATCAACAATGTTTTACGGCAGTTTCTAATATCAACTTGAGTTTTTTTTTCTTGTTAAAAAGGTGAAGAATTTTAACACATTCAACATTATGTATAAAAAAAATGGTGAATTTTATATTGTTTTTTCGACGCTTAGCATGTGCAAAGCAAATTCACGGAAAGACACTAGAATGACGTCAAAATCCACGAAGATTTTTCATCATTTAATAGTCAGTTGTGCCTAATTTAATTTGTAACGTATATAAATGTAAGTAGAAAAAAATCAAATGTTCATAGAGATAACGAGGGTCACAAAGCATCGTCCACTGGCCCTGAGTGTAATAACAAGTGTTATTGAATAGACGTGGAAAAAAACCCTAAAAATATTTACTCTACATTAGTAAATTGACTGGAGATTTCTATTTTATTTGTCTATGATAAACAAAATAAAGTTCATATCGTATAAGTCCAAATTATTTTCTGAAATACTGACATTAAAATTTTCTAGCTAGTTCATCTCTGTTTGGGTTATTGTTTTCATTTTTGTTGTTTTAAATGCTAAATTTATATATTTTTCAGCCATTTTCAATTCTATATTGTACCTGGTTTTTAGAAGTCATTCGTTCTTTTTTTTCTTTTATTTTCTATCTTTTCAAAAGGAACAAGTGTTGGAATGCGTCAAATATTTTAAATACCTCGGAAGCCTAATAAGCAGTGAAAACGTCGACCTAAAAAACAGCAAATGCAGTTTTAACAAATTCAGAGGTGCTTTTAATAGACTTTGTAACATTTACCAGTGAAATTAATACAGCTTCAAAATTAGCATCAAACCTTACAGCAACAATGTCAAGGCCGCCATTTTGTATGACTATGCGCTGGAGAGTCCCAAAGAAAGACATAAAAAAAGGTTAACGTCTTCAACAATAACTGACAATGAAACATTTTTGATATTTACTGGTCTCATAAGAAGAACTGTAGGAGATAACAGACAGGATCAATATGTCCTTTATTATTAATAAAAATAGGTTCCGGTGACTCGACTATTTGTTGAGAATAACCCATGAAAGAATAACTAAATAGTTACTTTGTGATGGGCCCCATCTGGAAAGAGAAAAAAAAGGTAAACCAATGATTTCCTGTGATGGGTGTCCCAAGAGTGAAACATAGGCCAAAGCACAAGACACTTCAGTCGTAGGATATTGTGGCCTTATATTCTATATATAAATTCAGATTTGCGTTGAAATTGCTAGTGGATTGTTTTACAGCCACTTGTGTCAATACACCATGGATATTAATCCATCTACTGTAAGTGTCTTTATTTTCTTTGTTGCTGAAATGAAGTTCTATCTGTATTTGTTGGGGCTTACGGCTATATAAAATTGAAACAACTGTTCTCGTACGATCAAAGAAATTAAGTAACGTTGAGCCTGGTCAGTACACAGATGGGTGACGATTTGGATGTACGAGTGGTGTAATGAGTACCAGTTCCGAATTGGAGTGCCGAGTTCTAATTATAGTCGGGTTTGTTATATTCACTTACGCACAAATATCCTTGGGAAAGGTATGGATCCACCTCTTCTCTCCGTAGCTATGGGTTAATTAGTAGGGCTTGTATAAATAAATCATCATTAAAAAAAATTCTTACAATCTAAAAATATTTTCTGGTTTTAAATAACCTGCAAAAGGTTGATAACTCGTAAAAAACAAATCTATATTTTGTACATCAACCACTTTCCTAATGGCAAATACTGTGTATCCAACTGATCTCGTTATAACGAACTTCAGTCTTAAGTGTCACATTTCATTCAGAAATCTATTTTAAGAATTTATTTTTGAAATAAAAAAATTCATACAAAATGTATTTATTCTTATCAATAAATTACAAGAATTTATATAAAAGATGTGGACCGCATCCGGAAATATTAAAAAATTAAATTAAATTAAAATTTTTACTTTTACTCTTATTTATTTTACTTTTTTTTCTTTTTTTTTTTTAATGATTTCACCCCAATAAAGGCAATAAAGACATTTAGATGCAAGGGGTTACCGAATGTTAGAGAATATAGGAAAAATACTATTAAGGAAAGAGGACAATAAAAGAACAAAAATTAAGAAGACAGAAAATAACGATTGACATTAAATTTAAATTTTTGAAGATCAAAATGAACTGGGAAGCAAAAAACGGGAAGAGAATTCCACAAGCAAGAAGTGCGATAGAAGAAACTGTTAGCATAGAACTTACGGTTACATCTAACCATTTCAACTTTTAAATGATGAGGCCTTGCCGCCAATCTAATTTTGTGCTTTAATTCATAAAGTTTTGCTACTACAGCGGAAAGTTCATCAGAACAATAACCATGAAAGAATTTAAAGAAAAGGTAAGAGGAGCTACGTTACGGCGGTGGGAAAGTAACTGACAGATCAGGACCAATAACATTGCAGATGATTTTATCAAAGATCATACACCATATATATATATATAGATTATATATATATATATTTTATATATATATATATATAAAGGAATGCTATACATATATTAAAAAGAAGAGGGTGCCGAAACGTTTTTGGTTGTAATGTGGATTTATTGATATATATATATATATATATATTTTACATATATAAAAATAATTAATTTTTCTTCATATTCAATGTGGAATATTCTCGATATGAGGTTTGTGTGTTAGCCAATTTTCTTTCAGATTGTGAAGAGTTCTGCGTGAAGGTCAAAACAATATTTGTCAAAACAAAAATTTAATCTTTTTAATGTTTTAGTGACCTCTATGTGCTCTTGGATGGTTTCTATTTGGCGTGTTCTAATATGTAAGATGCATTTTTTCAAAAATAAAGCATCTACAACACTTTTTCTAGTTCGATATTCTGATAAGAGAGAATCACCACACATACACACACACACATAACACACGCACACACACACACGTCTGTTGTCAGGAAATGTATGTGGAGGAAATATCTACTCAAAAACTTCCATTTGTATTGACAATTTTTTTTTGGTGTGTGCGTCGAGAATATTCCACATTGGGGCATTAAACATAAGTTAATTATTTTTAATAAGAACAGGTCATGTTCTAAAATCTCCACAGAAAGAGGTTAAAAGACCAAAACACGTCTAAATCGGATATTCTTTTCTCAAAAATTCAAAAAACTTTGCGGCACCCTTTCTTTTAAATATATATATATATATATGTCACCAAAGATTCAATTTCAAAGAAAATTGAATGGCAGAATAAATATCTGAAAAAATAAAGCATGTTTTTCCCGATATTCTGGAACGAACGAGAGGAAATGGGTCATTGAAATATCCTCAAACATCTTAATTGACAATTTTTTTTTGTTTTGTTAAACTGTACAGAAAGAGGATAAAATTCTAAATACTATTCTTAAAATTCAACTTAATTTTTGTTAAATTCAGCTTATATGTCTAAAGATTCATTTTCAGAGAAAATTGTACACAAATATCTGGAACCTGTTTTTCCCTATCGGAACGACGAGAGACCAGACATCTTAATGAGTTGTTTTGTTAAACTACGGATTTTCAACACTGCAACTGGTGTTCACTTCTTAAAGATGCCTACTCACAAAAAAGCCGTTCAACATTTTTGACAATATCTCCACTGTTCAACATTGTTGACAATAACTCCTTCATTCCGAAAGAGCAAAGTTTCACCAATAGAACTTTATTCTTTTTCCCAGAAGATATTTCTGGAAGGCTCGAAAGGTTCATCAAATCCTCGTTTCTGACAAACCCACGCCTAGAGAATGATTTGTACAACTTTTATATATAATTTTAAATATCTCTTCCACCACTAAATGCGATGAGTCTCTTTTGAACTTTGAAAACTATTCTCTCCTTACATCTTTTTTTTTTGTTAATACTTAATAATTTTTCAGCTTTTTACATTGAGATCAGGATCTTGTATTTCGCCTTTTCCTTCCTTATATCCTTTTTGATAAATGTCTTCCTATTTAGCAATTAATCTTTTGCGTAATTTCATACAAGTTTCGGTTTATTATATTGCTACTGTGTATTTATGTACATATATAAATTGAATTAACAGCTATGTATCCGTGACCAAGTCGAGCTTACAAGTCGGAGAACATTGGCTGTGGTCTGACCTGGAGAGGGACAGATTCCGTCAGGTTTACTTTGTCCTAGACACGCTACGCATAAATGAATATCTACCTAGACATGTAGCGGGAGAGGGGTCAGGTGTTCAGATGCACAACGACCCTAGGACCACACCCGATCATGCGACTTCGTTTATTTACAACAGTATATTTATTTTCATATTCTGATGTTAGTTCATTGAAATACTGATTTTGGTAAGTGGGTTGAGTCGAAACTTTTTATAACCGTCTCGTATATGATAATCACTTATCCATTCCCACGTGGTTAATATCTACAACACTTATAAACAATAACAATAACCTCTTATTTATTTTGCGCCAATCACAATCTTGGCTTTTAATATTTACAAGAACGGTGCAATACAACCTCCTATCCTTTGAATCTATGCTAGAAAATTTCATGTGTGCTAAATAAATTCTCTGATATTGTTACGACAATTGTCTTCTTCAACTCTTTTTTTAATCATTTTAGCCCTAGAAATGCAATAATGTCAGTAGAATACAAGGATTAGTGGGAGTGAATGAGGGGAAAACTTTAGTGAGAAGTGAGAAGAAAGGACAATAAAAGAACAGGTTTCAGGAAGACAGATGGCGATAGGTGTTGCATTTAAATTTTTGAATCTTGTAGATGGCAGGCAGTAGGGTGCAGAAGGAGAGCGGAGGGTGCAACGTCTCCGGGCAGCCATATTGTGACGTCATCCAATCAAAGAGTGAAATAAAAATGTAGTTTATATTTAATTTGAATAAAATGTTTATTTCATGTTTCATCTGTTTTTACGTATTTAAAATGTCTTTCTTTACTCACATTTCTCAGTACTAGGCCCTAGAGGCACCCTCCCCCTCCGCTACTTGAGTCTTAGGGGCATACAATCAAGGAGTTGGCCTCGGGTGTCACCAAATACCACCAAACCTCTGAACGTGGCTGGGAAGCAAGAAATAAGAAGGGAGTTCCACAGGCGAAAAATTCGAGAAAAGTAACTATTAGAATATAACATACGATTGTATGTTGCTAGTTCAACATTAAAATGGTGAGACCTAATTGCCAATCTAGTAGTACGCTTAAATTCATGCATTCGATGCACCAAGGATGAAAGCTCAGCAGAACAATTGTCATGAAAATATTTGTAGAAAAGACAGAGGGAAGCCACGTTGCAATGGTGGAAAAGTGACTGATGTCGAGATGCCAGGTCAGCATCGATTACATTCCAGATAAAAATATCGATGGTTCAGTCTCTTTTAAGCATTTTTTTTAATATAAAGAACTGTCGTGCTTATATCTTTGTATTTCATTTTTAGCATCAGACAAATAATGTAATCTTTTTTTTTTTTGTCTTTCATTTGTTGATCCTTTGCATAGACATACCACGTTGATGAGAGGGACTTTTTCTCCCAAGACAAAACCTTTCCTGCTCGGCATCGCATAGAATAAGAGATATATGTTCAAGGATGGCTTTCTATTAGAAAAAATGTCTTAGAAAAAGTATTTTCCTCTGGATTACTTTCAATAAACCTAACTAAAAAAGGATGGGTAACGGGTGCAGATTCACAAATAAGACAGTTTTATTTCTGTCAAAGTATGCGTTGACACTTAGGCCATTTGTGCAACAAGAAAGAATAGACTTGTTGACGAATACAATTTTTTTTTATTAAAGAAACTAAGTACTAACATTACAAGTATTAACAAACCACAAGGTCAATTGGCCAGTGTCAACGAACGCTACACCGAACATGCTTCCTTTAAACAATCAAATGCATTTTTTCAAACAAAAAGGAATAAAGAAAATAATTTTAACAGTCACTTCAAAATTACACAATTTGATGAAAGAAAGAAAAAACTTACCTGACAGAATTTCAGCTTCTGCTCCAACTTTAGAATCCGCGACAATCACCCATTCCTGTGGTTTAATGGATAATTTTGAACTGCTGCCGATAGAAGATTTGGGTGTAGGCAAAACAAGGAACGGGGCTTTTCCTAGGTCCTCCACCTTGTATTTGCCATAACGTTCCATCGGGGAGAAAGGATGGAAGCGATCAGACGGCCCTGTCCTTTTGTATTGCTTCGCGTTCAAGAAAGGCTTCACGAAATCTAATCCTTCTCCGGCTGTGCTCGCAATCACGCGAGACTTGAGACCGTTTGCATAAATGTACCAGTTGGGCATAACGTCGGTCTTTGAGACTGACCAATTCATAGCCCAGAAGTTAATTTTCTTTGACTGGCCAGGGAAGATAGGTGAGAAATTAGGGGTAGTCGACATGGAGAACAAGCAGCCTTGGATGTGATCGAATATGATACCATATTGAGTGTCCAGGTTAAGAGGATTGATCTTCATAATGTGGCAGAAATAAATGCGCCAACCTATAATATAACAAAGAGAAGATTTTAAGGAATCATTTCAGGAAATTAATAAGAACTTAACAAATTTATGTATTCATTTATTGAACGATGGTTATGAAGTGATATTTGTATGTTCCCACAAAATGAAAACACAATGGTGATTTTTTAAAGCGTAGTTTAGATGTTCACATGGTCGAATATATGGGGCATCCAGTGAGGATCGAACTCACTATCCAGTCGTAATTGATTTAACGAGACAAGTTTACTAATCATTACTCTACGTCGAGTGGCCAAACGAAAACACAGTGCAAGACAGATTGAAATTTTATAAAACCTTTCATTACGTAGAAATAAAATAATAAAAGTTTGTCTATGGAAAGGGATTCCTTTCGTTTACTAGAGAGTCCACGTGTTCACATTTGAGACAAGAAAAGCATTACTTACATTCCCTGATAGTAGGTTGTTCTCTATGTGAAGAAGAAAGGAAGAGGATAGCTTTGTTGCCAGCATCCGTTTATAGATGCCGGTCGGATACTGCAGCTATTGTCTGCTAATGCGACCTACCGCATCATTTCTATTGCCAATGGTTTGTGGCTGGTGATTTTTCTTCTTTTCTTTTTACTAATTGTTCACTCAATACAAAACCCAGAGCCACTCAAGGTAGAGGATTACTAAATGATGTATAAAAATAAGAGGAAAAAGTAAGTACAGATTATGGCGAGTATGAGTAGATAACAGTTGATCCTAGACTTGAAGAGGAAATTCTCTCGAAATATCTCATCAGTACAATCGTTGCAGACGCTTTGGCGTAGGTAATGGCTAACGAGCTAGTAGACCACTTTTACTGAGTACTGGATGGTCCACACTTGTGCCCTTGTGTTCAAACTAAGCTACACTTAGTAAATGGTGACACGACCATCTTGTTTTCTCTTACATTGTTTTAAATCACTGTCAGATTTATGACCAAATTAAACAAACCCTGTAGTAAACAATTTCTCGTGCGATATCTGGTCAGTCGCTCCAAAGGAGTTAAAGCAAAAATATTCACAAATTAATCTTTAAAATCCAACATGTCTGACATGGAATTCTGACAGCTTTGAGGAATAAGAGCGTAGTGTGATTATTTAATACTTTTTTCAACAGATCACCAAATTTGAATCATTCTTTGTTCTGCTGTTTTTTGAAGTATTTGTTAAATATAGTAAAGTTTCTTGACAATGTTGCTTGCATTCCCCCCACAAACCTATATATAAGACTCCATTCATAAAAACCATTATTAGCCTGAATTAATCCTTTCGAAATACGAAATTTATAACATCGGATTTTTTTCCATTTTGAGCATTTTCCTCACAGATGAAGAGAAAACTGAAGAGATGTGGTTATACAGAAAGATACTGAGAATTCCATGACCGGAATGTGTAAGCAACGAGGAAGTCTTAAAGAAATGAAGAAAAATAGCATCAGAAAAAGGCAGCTGAATTTTCTTGGACACGTTATGAGGAAGGAGGAGTTGGAAATTTTGACACTCACAAGGCAAATATCGAAAGCAAAAGAGACAGATCGAGTCAGCGGGCCACGCACCTGATAAGTTTGTGCGGATGGATGGCAGATCAGGGAAGCGGGGCGATGGTAAAAAGACAAACATTACTAAAAGCTACCACACGATAGGAGGAAGTGAAGAGTCATGATCGCCCACATCTTGAAGGGACACGACATCTTAGAAGAAGTCTGATATAAAAACTTGCATATCATATCTTCCAAACACATGCAAAAAGCTGCTGATGAGAAACAAACTTATTCGTCATAGTTTACATGACCAGTGGACTGGATTACTTATACACACTGCTGGCCAAATCTTTAGTAACACATTAAAATTGTATTTATTTTCGTTTATTGATACTTATTACATCTTATGGTCAGGTTCCTAAAAGGTTAATCTACCAAGTTGGGTTTATTTCAGGTTTCAAAAGCTATTTCATTGAATTGATTGGTTGATTGCTAAAAGATGCATTTAGCTTCCATTAAAAAAAGTTTTCATGAATTTGTAGCAACATAGATTATGTATTAAGATTTTGGAGGTTTCTTTAATGAAACTTCTAAACTAAGCCAACTATTAGCAGTAAAATCATTTTTAGGATTGGTTCTTTTTTTTCTTTTTTAATTGCAAAGCCATCTATTCAATATGGTCTTGCTATTTATTTGCTTAACAAACTTAGGATAAACTTCCTTAATGAATAATAATAACAATAATAATAATAATAACAATAATAACAATAATAATAATAGTTGTAGTTGGAACCCTCGGATTGACGGAAAAAGGGTCCGGTATGACATAGCAGTACCATCTGAGAGAAACATCTCCATGAAAATTATCGAGAAATTGTTCAAATACAAGGACCTGGAGATCAAGATTAACAGGATGTGGAGAATGAAAACTGAGACTGTACCTAGAGTAATCGGAGCTCTGGGCCTCGTGATAAAAGGAATGGGAAATTTTACTAACAGTGTCCCAGGTAACATCAACATACAAGTTGCCCAGAAGATCGCCTTACTAGGAACATCCCATATACTGAGAAACGTGTTATCAATTAAATGACAGTTTTCCTATAGGGCCTAAGGACCATATTTTGGACCCGGCTCTACAGGATACAAAGCAGGAAACATAAAATACACAAATAATAATAATAATAATAATAATAATAATAATAATAATAATTTTTTGATAGAGAAGTTGATTTACCCCTGTGCAGGCTGTGTAGGAAAGCTACTGAAAGTGTGCAAGCACATTGTCAGTGGCTACACTCAACTGGCACAAAAAGAGTACAGATGACACCATGACAAAGTAGCCCTCAAAATAAATTGAGAATTATGCAGGGCTTATGACCTCGTATACGCAAAGAAGTGGTACGATCAGTCACCACCGTCAATAGCCGAGAATGAATAAGTTAAGTTCATGTGAGATACAAAAATCTTTACTGATAAGCGCTTGGAGAACAATCGCCTTGATATCACACTTGAGCACAAGAGTAGCCATGGATGGACGTTGCGGTACTTTGAGATAAGAACCTCAGCAGTTCAAGTTGTCCCTTGGCTCACACGGGCCTTTTTCCAAGTCTTTCTGTCTCACAGGACGCCTTGGGGATGCCTAACATAATTGCTAGTGCGCGGGTTGCAGCACTGCTTGGAACAGCTCATGTGTTGTGACGCTAAGTTGCAAATAGGAGCTGAGATCACCATCAGCCGGCCGAAACATCTAAGAGTCGGAGAGGATATCAAATAAAATAATAATAATAACAATAACTGCAACAACAACAACAACAACAATAACAGCAACTATGATGTCAATAATAGGGGGAGTATCATGGTCTAGTTTTTTTTTAAGTTTAAAGGATGAGCTAAGACGACTTGTGAGTTAAATGTAGATACTTGGGAACAACCTCAATCGGAGACCGTCTGAGCCTATTGGGTTACCCGACTTGAAGATATTTCTAACTAGATCACACCTGCAAGGTTATATGTGGCTTTTCTCAAAACTTGTCACGATATCGGGCACATTTGACTGTGATGCACCTTCCTGATATACTCTTATCAAACTAAATATCATGATGAGGATATTAGACTTTGTATATTTATACCCCAGAACCACTTTCTTGGTACGCTGCTTTCTAACGCAACAACAACAACAACAACAACAATAATAATAATAATTGAAGCAGTAGTATTAGTTATTAGTCCAAAAGAACTTACCTCTGCTCACAATGGTTACTGGCCCATTGTTACTTAAAATCAATTCAACTTCGTAGACTGGTTTGCCATGGGGATGATTCTCTACGACTTTGTACTCAACTCCCATAAAATCCCCGATGTAATCAATCATCGACTGATTGATTTGCTGACCAACGATATTCACTAAAAAAAGAACAAAAAATATAGATAACAGGAATTACATATATATATATATATATATATATATGTGTGTGTGTGTGTGTGTGTGTGTGCAAAAATTTCAGATAGAGTATATCTGTAAAAGGATAATATGAATAAAAGACAAAAGGAAAACTTATCTTAGCTGACGTGTTTCGTTCTCTGAGAGACTTTATCAACGCATGATATATATCAACGCATATATATATATATATATATATATATATATATATATATATATGTGTGTGTGTGTGTGTGTGTGTGTGTGTGTGTGAAAAATGTATATAAATATAAATAAATATATGTATAATTATTTATATATTATATGCGCGGTACTTATTAGAAAGCGCTCAATATCAGAGATAGAGATAACATATATATATATATATATATATATATATATATATATATATATATATATATATAGAGTAAACCTAAAGAGCCAGCCAAACCTACCTAGGTTTCACCTACGTGGATCGTCAGGACAAACTACCCTGACGATCCGCGTAGGTGAAACCTAGGTAGGTTTGTCTGGCTCTTTAGGTTTACTTTGCTTTATGTGCTCTACTTAGCGTATTGAGCACTTTGTTTAGTTATTTTACTTACTCGTATCAGAGGTTTTTTTCTTTGGACTCTGAACGTAGATTCTAGACGATTATTTTCGCCGGAAATATATGTTTTTAGTTCTTTCTTTTTTTTTAGCCTTCTTTCTCCCTTGGGCATTGGTTTGTTGATTTACAAGCTAAAACACCTAAGGTTTTGCCGGACAAGTACTACTGCTTATATTGATAAGATTATTAGTGTTTTATATATATATATATATATATATATATATATATATATATATATATATATATATGCATGAAAATGTAGGGTACATTTTGCCAGTTTTCTTTTGAGCTTTTTTAACAAACACCAAAAACCGATAATTATTGTTGGGGTGAGCGTGAACGCCTCTCCCACACATATTATTATTAAGTTGCTAATTCGACTGGGAATTGTTTTCATTTTTTTTTATTTAAAGCATTTTAACGGTATTACGCTAAAAAAAATCTCGCTACAAGGTGACCTTTTTGCCGCGTAAACCCCGATGCCAAGTTAGTAGACATATCACTGATAGCAATTTTACCCACCGCTTGAACTCACGTAGTATTCCGACCATCAGCTCTGAATTGTGACAGTTTAAATCGTATATATTTGCTTTTCTGTCACAAATGCAAAAAGGGAAATTATTTTGAAGAAACTGGAATAGAATTCCGTCTTCGTTTCAATAACCATAAAAAACAAACATCAGGGACAATAACGACAATTTTTGCAGTCGCTGTACACTTCAACCAATCATTTCATAGCGTCGATGACATCAGATATGTGCTTTTAGCGTCTTCATTCAACAGCTGAGAAGAAAGAAACAGATCGGAGTTGAAATTTATTTTCAAAATAAATTCAAACATTGATGGATAATTTCCACAGGGATACCTCTAACGAACAACATTCCGCGGGTTAATAAATCCCACTTCTTTGTTTATTCATCGTATCGTTGAAAAAGAACACAGGCGTGTTCGAAAATTCCGACAATCAAATCTGTCTCTTCGTGCTTCAATTCAGTTAAAAAGTTAATAATAAATATCAATTCTATTGATAATATTGGTATCATTTTGTTGGCTCTTTATTCTTCAAATTTCGCTAACCGGCCTATTATATATATATATATTAAAGAGAGAAAAATCCGCAAATTTTTTTATTATAATGTGTATTTTTTATTATAATGTGTATTTTTTATATACTTTATTTTATATATTTTTCTTTTCATGTTAACTACACACAAAAAGACATAAAATAGGAGGAAAAAATTCATTCCTTTAAATAATATGTAGAAATAACTATTATTCTCCTGGTGAAGATCACAAGACCCAAAACACGTGCATGGAAATATGTAAAATAAATTATATAAAAAAATCCACATTATAATAAAAAACGTTTGCGGCCTTTTTTCTCCCTTTAAAATATACACTTAGAAAAACAATAGTCTCTCCCGTATATATATATATATATATATATATATATATATATATATATATATATATATAACAAAATGCGAATTTATATATTTATTGGTCACGCAGCCTGATATCCCCTACTGGCTAATGAAGTGTTCCGTTGTTATGATAACAGGAAACCTGACTCGATGCCATTAAGCAAATATGTGTTGTGTTTCGTAAACAATGGAATAGTATAAGTAGAGATTAGGCAGCTCATACATTGCTTTTTACTTCTCTTGCTTTGTTTCTTTTTACTAGTCATCACCTAATACCAGCCCCAAGAGCCACTCAAGGTATAGGCTTACTGTGTGGACTTATATTAGCGTAAGAAAGAAAAAGCGTTAGGAGTCTAGAGCTAAAGCAGAATTTAGAAGGAAGCGGAAACCCAAGTGGAAACAAGGGATAAACCATCACTCCTGTTAAAAAGACCGGGGAGAAATGTCAACCGCTTTTGATGTAATTTGTGTTAATGATTTTAAAATCTGAATTCGTTCTTACATACGTCAAAAGTGTTAATAAATAATAAAAATAAATATGCTAAACTATGCATGAAAAAAGTTACAAATGCAATAGTAAAATTACTAACATATTTTCATATTTGTAAACTAGTGTATATATATTTGTGTAAAAATGTTGTACATCACCAGAATAGACATCGCTACGTATTGAATTCTTCTGATGATTCTTCTGATGAAGTAGTGGAAATAGAATTGTTTATTATTTTTAATTTGACAAATAAAACGCCATAATATATTTATGCCTAAAACATATTTTTAACTCAAATATTTTTCCAGCTCGTATATAAATGTTGAGTGTACAGTTTAACGGAAATTAAAATCTGCATGCCAAGCGTATTTTCGTAGCTAAAAACAGACACGAAGCAGGTTACCTTGAAACCAATGAGAATCGTTAGCGGGAGCGTTTATAAAGGGGCAGAAAGCCTCTTTCTCACGTTTTTTTTTTTTTTTTTTCTATCTCCTGACATTTTTTTCGTCGGTTCGTCACTGTAGAAAAACGCTGTGTTAACGTCTCCTAAAATGCAACCTTCACAACCAGGACATATTTCATAGTCCTGAAATGCAACCTTCACAACCAGGACATATTTCATAGTCCCGAAATGCAACCTTCACAACCAGGACATATTTCATAGTCCTGAAATGCAACCTTCACAACCAGGACATATTTCATAGTCCCGAAATGCAACCTTCACAACCAGGACATATTTCATCGTCCCGAAATGCAACCTTCACAACCAGGACATATTTCATAGTCCCGAAATGCAACCTTCACAACCAGGACATATTTCATAGTCCCGAAATGCAACCTTCACAACCAGGACATATTTCATAGTCCTGAAAAAAGACTCATGCAATATTACATTTCAGATAAGGACATTTTATACATCAACCACATATGTACATTTCTTTCTTTTCTTTTCTTTTTTTTAAAATTGTTTCTTGTATATATTCACACTGGATGGTTCGGTTTTCTTTATTGGTTGTATCTCGTCTCGCATGATTCGCCCTTTTCTCTCTTTCTCTCCAAATCTGCTTTCTACGACTACTAGGATTAATGGGAATAACAGACACTACCATCACTTGTTACTTTCAGGCAGCATGATCATGAGTCTTTGTTTAAATCTAGCTTAGGGAGTTACCTTTAAAAGATTTAACTAAGGAAATGATAATTCCCGCAACATCAGTAGATTTGTAATAGCATTATAATTATAAAAAAAAAACATAACTGTTGTCGTCATTTTTTATAGCACATATAAATTCAATCAGTCAGTTAAGTGCCATACGTGATACATACTTGGCGGGTCACATCTCTTTCGATTCATGACTGACTAGGCAGAAGATATTCCCGCAGTAAGCTGCCGTTTCTTTCTGCTGTGGACTGATTGCCGACCAAGGCTATAGGACCCTGTTTATCTTACTATTCAATCCATAGCTCGTTAGAAGTGTTGGATTTATACCTTTCCCAAGGGTATTTGCACGAAAGTGATTGTAAAGAGCCTGACTGGAATTCGAAATCGGCTCTCCGATTTCTTATACCGAGCCGTTATCGATTACACCGCATGTAAACTACTAACACCATAATACTAATCTGTCCAAAGAGACAAGTTTAAGGCATTAATCATGTCAAAATGACATCGTTAAAACATGCATCGACGATTGTGTTCATTCTCACTAACTTACCACGCTGATAAGTTTCCAAAACTTCGAATGAACGTTATCAATATATATTTAAATTCTGACAAGAAAAGGGTCCTTAATTCCTTTTTATAATGTCTAGTTATCAAGATATGAGAAATTACAGATGTTCAAAACTGAAAATAATCAGCTTGAGAAATTATGAGGATTTAATACAATGTTCGGAGAACGAATTTAGTCATCCTGGACCTTGTTTTAGTCGAAGAGAAGGAACACAACGTTAATGAAAATAAAAAGAAACAAAAAAGAGGTTTGCACATGCACACTTTAGCGTTCTACGGACTTATAAAAGTTTTTTTTAAGAGTCCATGGGTGTAACCTAGAATCTGGAAACGTTCTGAATTAGCATTTTCTCTTAACGTCGTCTGCTCCTTCCTTTTCATGCAGCGCTGGTTGCCAAACAAGGACCGATCATAGCTATTTCGTATAGTCAGTATGATGAGCTTAATTTTGACCAATGAGCAGGTTTTTATTTACTACATTCTACACCTTATAAATAATGGGTATAATTTCTGATCTTTCTAGAGTTGCTTCCTTGTAATTGCTATTTATTTTAATTCCAATAAAAATGCTTTCAAACATAGGAAATCAGATTTATTTCAGCTGTTTCTGGGAAAGAAAGAAAGAAAAAAAGATCGATTCCTTTTCAGTTTGCGTGTACAGAGTAACATCTATATTATAATCATCTGATTTCTCTTTATGTGTTTATTATTACAACATCACAAGACAGAAC